CTATCGTGTTGTGCTGCGTTTTGTGCTGATCAGACCCGTGCAGTGGTGACCAGATCGAATGGTGCTCACACAGATTTGCTGTGTCGCTACCATACTGCATGGTACCAGTAAGGCGTTCTCCCTCGACGTCCTCTCATGTCTAGCCACAGAAACCAAAATGAAAGAATCGCGTAATTTATCTCGATCGGAAATAGCGGAGAGCGGAAGTAAATTTATCTTACAGTCCTGGATGGATCCAGGACTTAGATTGTGTACATTTCCCGAGCTAAAATCCTGCCTCCAACGGTTCCCTTAGAATACAGTCACACCTCCTTATTTGAACCTCTATAACTGACCACTAGCTCTTAACTTGAATGTGGTATCTCAAAGCAAACGAGACTATATGAGGTTCATTATACCAGCCCCTTTAATTGACTAAAACCCTCTCTATTCGCTAAATGACAGTCAATTCCGGAGGTAAAACTCTCTATCTGGACAGGTGACCGTCCACCAGCCATAGAATCCTTCTCACTTTTAAACTCCAGCTGTATCCCGTCAATATTCCTTTTATAATCCCCGCTCGCACCATGACACCGCCACACTCAGCAGACATTGGCAACTATGAGCAGAAAAGGAAAGAAACGCGATAAAGATCGTATCACAATGGCATTCTGTTGTAAGCACGAATACACACAAGCTAGACCCGGTCGTGATGCACACAGTAGAAAACCCACGTTGTTTTATTGGCGGGAGTGCTCGTGCGCTAAAAGGCAAGGCTGTTCAATACTACAATAGCAAAAAAGCATGGATTTCCAGCCCGAATATTCTCCAAGTGGGTACAAAGTTTCAATTAAAGATGGCTGTTCAAAATCGCAAGGTCCTGCTGTTGATTGACAATGCCTCGAGTCACAAGATTACCCGGTCATATTCAAACATCGAGGTACGCTTTCTTCCTCCTAATCTAACGTCGTCTGTCCAGCCTTTGGATCAGGGCGAGTTATATGAATCTGTGTAGTTATAGTACAACCAAGAAGATGACCCATCTGTACCTGCATCGACAGCCCTTGCTTATTGCGTGGAGCTTTCAACATTTCTGTTTCAGTGCGAGGGGGACACTAAAGACCAGCAGAGCATGCTGCAATCTTTGACAAAGCTAGTGCGAACGCAAGTGGTGAAGCAGGCGACAGCGGACACTCGATAGTTACTTTCAGCAAGATGGCTACATGTAGCCACTTCTCTATGTGACCAATTTCTATAGATGAAAAGACATTTTTTCCCGAGCCAATCGGGCGTCATTTATGGAGGTGTGACTGTATTAGGAATATTTATTGGACGGCGTTAGAGTTCAGGTTTCCCAGATATCTATTTAGTGATTAGGTTTACTCAGATGCAGGTATCTCCAGGTTCACGTCCAGTACTCCTTCAGGTTTCGACTTCTGGCAGTAAATTTATGAAATAAACTCCCGTCCAAATATTACGCAGTTATCGAGAGCCTGGATACCTGGAATAGTCATGTGTGCGCTACTTGGGCAAAAGTCGAAGTGATGAAGAGCTTGTCTTGTCGGCATGGCAAACCCACGGGGAGTCAAGAGCTTGAATGGGTATCTTCTTGTCAGCGGCCAGGTATTGGCCAGGTAAATGCCATGTATTTGTCAAGTTACCTCTTACCACGACACATGCTGCAGCTACGAACGACGTTTGATCTTCAGAATTTCGAGTAGCATTGCCCAACGTAACTTCGTAATGCCAGAAGAGGTTACATCACTTGGCGCCTCGCTGGACACGCACCTCCACATGTGGAGACACACAAGAACTCCACAACTATCACCATCTTTCTGAACAGGTTCTTTAACGTGATTCACCTGGAACACTTCCTGCATTGCCGATGCAACCTCGCTCGTAATGCCTTCAAGACGTTTAGCGTTCTTGGCAGAATTCATGCTGTCGTACAGGTGAATCACCTTCGAGCTGCCGTCGATCACTAAGCAGCCCCAGTGAACTCCCTCAAAATTGACAGGCACCAACACAAACTGACAAACGGCTACAGAAGCGCAAATCTCCAAACGTTTCTTCTCTGGAAGCACCGGCTCCACATTAGCTGGTTTTCTTCTTGGTTGCTTCTTAAGTGGAGGCATCGTCACCGTGGCATTGTTCTTGTAGTGCTGTAGAAAGACCGAACAGGCGTGCACGTTGAGCCACATGGACCCTCGAACACAATAGATGTCGGCCATTGTGATGTCAATTTCGAAACCTGGCAAAGTTTTGTATGGCCAGGTATTCAGAATTTCATCAACTGCAGCAACCACTGGAGGTGTTTCGTCCACAAGTTGTTTCACCTCGTTATTAAGCCAAGTGCATAATGCAACGCCACGTTGGCACGTGGTCTGCAAGCTCCACAACCACTTCATGTTTTCCACCTGCTCTCTGGTGTAGGCACCTATAGTCTCAATTGCCACCACATAGTCATCTGAATCACCACTTTCCCCGTCACTATCGATCTGAATCTCAATCTGCTCTCCACGTAACCTTTCACGCAGTTATTCAAGTGCACGGTCGATCGTCGGCTCAGGGAGCCTGTAGCGCACATTATTGGGAACAAAATTTGGGTCCACAGACCACGAAAGTGGTTTCCTCACGGCTTTTCCGAGCACCTGAAAAGTCGCAAGGAACGACCCGATCTCACGCAGGCCCGGCATGATCTCCTTCAGCGAAGCAACCACTTCACACACATCTCTTTCGCGCAGCAACCACGCAACTTGATACCTTAATTGTATTCTTTCAAGTCAGACTTAGCTTTCGCTCGCACTTTCTTACGATTCAGTCGAGGACACACGACTGGCACAATCCTTTCGTTCAACTTGATATTCAGAGGAGCACTATCTCCTGACGCGCGCGCGAAAGTCGTTCAGCCGACACAACTGGCTGTTCGAGCGATTGTTGAGTAGGCGGTACTTCATCGTGATCGTGTGTTTCATTTGGGCCAGCACGTCCGCTTCATAAGCTCCGTATTTACTCGACATCCGAATCGTGTCATGTAGCCATTTGATTACGTGAAAGTGGCATAGCAAAATGCGCGCCTCCGGCAACTTCTGCCGCAGAACATCCACCTCTCGCATATCCTTATCCACAATCACAATCCGCACGAAACGCCAGTGCTCATTTGCACGCTTGAAATGGTCAATGCTCTTTGCCATCTGCCAGTCGCCGTTCGTCTCTAACAAAGAATACTGGACAGGCTGTCCATTGCCAAACTGGTCCATCGCAACCATCGAGAGTAACTGATAGTTGTATCTAGTAATGGAAGAAAAAAAGATAAATACCTGGAAAAAACATGGACAATACATGGAACTAAAAAAACAGCTATGACTTACTTGTTCGTCTTGTGCATGCAGTCCATTTGAAGGACCTCAGGAAAGCTGTCCAACATGGATCGCATGTGCCCCGTCGTGATTGAAATGACCCCGGTGTTTCCACGCGCACTCTGGTATACCGACGACACGTTCTGCGGAGACTCCATGTTAAAGTTCACGATGGCTCAGCTACTGCGTCATCATCGGACAGTTCTACACCTAAGGTAATCATAGTAATCATTAGTACGTGATCACCATAATGCAATCAAACTTACAAACACACCAAACACTTACCGGAGCGACGCAAGCGGGCGATCAAATTTCGGACGTCTGTCATTGTCACGCGGTGCTCTGAGTTTTCGCGAATGTATTCGTAGATACTTGATGTCGTGGCCTGCGATTGCATCAGTAGCTCAACGCCAGGAACCAACAGGGACTGCGTAGATACCTGTCGAATACCTGGGTAGTGCTGGTAAATCTCTGGAGAAACCTGGTGGTTGTGAGAGTAAATTTCGCGCTTGAGAGCTATTCCCCACGAGCCATTATCCATGCGATTAACCTGCGCAAGAAACTGGAAAGGACATTCGGTCCGCCGAAGGTTGTGCGACGTGCGCTTGCCTGTCGACCGCTCACGCGTAGGCCACCCGTGAGTACAAATGTACTTGCGCTGATACGGACCCATGTCCTCTGGGACGAGTGGGATCTCCTCTTCCGGGAGATCTTTGTACTGGAGCTGGTTCTTGAGTGCTGAGTTACGCCGAGCGACACTTATCACCTCCTTCACGACAAGCACTTGTCGTGTCGCCCGCAAATACATCTTGAGCCCTTGCTCGAATGCTGCCCAGGTAGTATGCTCCTCCTCAAACGGCGGAACGGAAACGAACAAATCGTCATCAACGTCTGCAACCGAGCGCTTCTTTCCTTGCCGTGGAGACGGCTTGACGCTCATCGCCACATTGCTCCGCCTATTAGCAGTGACTTCTTGTTCAGTCTTCTCTTCCCCTTTCTGCACAGCCTCCGGCTGTGAAGCGGTGGCGCCCTCGTTATCGCCTGCTTCGTCGTCATCGTCTGCTTGGCCTTCATCACCGTCGCCTTCCAGCTCATCAACTTCTTGGTCATCTTAACCGACTCCATGGGGGCCAAATAACGGCGTCGTTGTCTCTGCTCGGCTCTCCCTTGCGCGTTGAATGGCTACTGCTTTCTCGGACCTAGTGCGGGCGTTTCCGATGCTAACACGATGCATGGTATCCTCAGCAGCAGCTTCCTCTCGGACTGCCGCTGCCGCGCGGGCCTCCTCTTCTCTTAGCGCCTCCTCCGCCATTTGCTGCTTGATATCGCTGTCTTGTGGGTGCGAGCCATGGCGCTGTAGGCGTTCGCCGCGAGAGGGAGAGCTGCCGCGTGGCTTCTTCTCCCCGGATGAGTGGCTGGGAGATCGACGAAAATAAAATACCCAACGAAAATCGGTAATAAAAAACCTGGTCGATACCTGATGTAATATTTGGAAAATACCTGCTCCGAAATGCCCGTTGCCCATATTTATTTAGGCAGCGACTGAATTCGAAGCAGCAGGTTGCTCTAACGTCGCTCGAGTGTCGTCAAAGAAATCAGTTGCAACTTTGAGGGAAGCAACTGCAAGATCAGGGTGTGCCAATGCATAAAACGCTTTCCCCAAAACGAAAGAAGAAGCGAGCGGGTCGAATCATCTCGGATCAGCTCCACGCGGCCATTCGAAGACAGCGACAGCACTCGCGCTATTAACCATGGGAGGCATTCTTCAGAAGATGCTACAGGCCTTCTACACCAAGAAGCTCGAGGTCGTGCTCGTGGGTCTTGAGAACAGGTGCGTCGTGTCACATTCTACAGAGGATATGAGCTGCTGACCTGATTCTTGACTCACTGCTGCTAAATAGTGGCAAGACGACGCTGCTGAATGTTATGGCCATGGGTCACCCCGTGGAGACATGTCCGACCATCGGTCTGAACGTGAAACTCGTGAAAAAGGGAGGTGTACAGATGAAATGTTGGGATATCGGCGGACAGGCACAGTATCGAAGCGAATGGGGTCGCTACACGCGCGGCTGTGACGTCATTATATATGTGGTGGATGCCAACGCGGTACGCTGATTGATATCCTCAATTGATTACGTATCTGCTGCTTCTTGAGCTGCGTTACTGACCTGTTGTGGCCTTGTTACAGTTTGACCAAATCTCTCTGGCGCGGAAGGAGCTTCATCGGCTACTAGAGGACCGGTACTGCAGCAATATCCTGCTACAATCTTCTGGGTTTATTTGTGCTGACTGCTGTGTTTGCTGTTGTATAGTGAGCTCGCGACAACGCCCCTGCTGGTGCTGGCCAACAAGATCGATCTGGAGCCCCACATCTCCGAGCCGGAGCTCATCCGCGAGCTGAACCTGGATTATATCGTGGACAACCCGTGGCTTGTGATCCCCATTTCGGCTCTGCGTCTCGTCAACATCGACCAGGTCATCCAGTGGCTCATGAAGCAGTCGGGCAAGGGCTAAAGCGTCTCTAGGTTGAGCTAAGTGCCGCTGATACTGCACTAGAGAAGGTTATGAAGAAGATGTAATGCAGAGTGGACATGATAAAACAACTAGCAGTCTGGAAGTGACGATTCGACTGTAAGCAGAGGCAGGAAATGATGAAAACGTTCTGTAGAGTGCAGTCCAGTTGAGCAATTTTTTGCCTTTATCGTGGATTTCTACCTGTAGTTTGCAGTTAGTTCACTATAGCCAAGTTGGGGATCTCTGTTGAACCGACTGTAGATCGCTTCTCGGCTAGGAGGTAATCGTAAGTGCACTGCCACGTCGGCCAATTGGTCTTCGATCTTTTTTCCATATTTCTAGTCGAGGACTATTCAGACTTTGGACCAAAGCGACGCGTATTTGAACGATGGAAAGCTTCTTCCTGCAGCATAGCGTGCTTCGAGACCGTGATCCTGACGAACTGGGCGGCCGCGTCGACTCCGACTCGGAGGCCAGGTATGCAAGACCTGCCTATAAGTTGAAGCCTGATAACTATTAATAACGAGCGTGCGGTCTCGTGCTGCAGTGACGATGAAGACGAAATCACGGACCGAGTACACTCCGTCGCAGATCCGACGGGGCCGTGGACACAGAAGCCTGTGTGCGGCGAGACGTGGGGGAAACCTACACGTGGCTTCCTCGGCGGCAAAGCCCGCGACTTCGCCTCGGCGAACACTGGCCCCAAGGGAGTTATTAACGACTATAAAGCGCACAAGCGCTACGAGAAACAAGAGGTGCTGGCTGTCTATCACACGTTTTTGAAGGTAAAGAGGTTCGATTAGCTAACTGGTGTATCCTGGTGCAGCGTCTAAGGAAGGACGCTGAGCGCCAAGCTGTCCTCAATCGTATAGCCAAAGGAGCATCTGTCAATTTTTTTCCTTCGACGCGTGGTCAAACAGCACACGTGGACTGCGAGTGCGACGGAGGCTCAGACTGCGAATGCGACGACAGCGATTTGGTAGACGACGCCTTCTTGGCACAATATGCGGAGATGCGAGTGAAGCAGATGCAAGACGCGGCGCGCAACCGCAAAATCTACGGAGAACTCGAGTACATCACGCCGGAGCTGTTCGTGGCGCTCACCTTAAAGACAAACAGAAAAGAATCTGACGGTGATCTGCTCGTGCACCTTTACCACCCCGAAAATTATGCCTGCGGACTGCTCAACTCGCAGCTTGAGCTACTGGCACGGAAACTCGTCCACGTCAAGGTAGGCTTGCTGTATTTGAAATAACGGGGTGCAATCTCTAACTGATGCTCTAAGTTTACGGCGATGAGGGCCAAGGAAGCCGATGCGTCCATCGAAATGGCAGATCTACCGGTTGTGCTGGTTTTCCGAGGACATCAACAGGAGGTCGTCGTGGACGTAGCCCGCCGTCTGGATGGCGAGTTCACGCTCGTGCGAGTGGAAGCTTTTGTGAAGGAGCAGTGCCAATTAGGGGCCGGTGACCAGTTAAGGGCCGGATTCGGCTAGCCAATAGGCAATCTATTTTCATTGGCCACTACTAAGGTATCATATGAAACCGCGTAAAACATAAGTATACTAGTCAACCTAGGTACGAATCGCGATTTAGGCGCACCAACACAAACCTATGTATCTGTTTTGAGCCCTTGCACACCTTCGGACACGAGATATTGACGAAGTGGTGAGCCTCTGGAAAACTTACCTCGGTGGATGACCAACTTTTTCATTTTTTTTTATTGAGGCAGAATCGCCCGTAGAATCGCGTGGTGCTATTCGTTTCGGCTAAAACGCAGTAGAAAGTGTCTAAAACCGCATTTGTGTGATCAAATCCGAGTGAACCCATGTGTATAATCTGAAAAAAAGCCTAAATTTAGTGATGGACATCAGTATCATTTTGATTTAGGCGGGACATTTTGGCAAACTTACACTACAGCATCCCCAGTGCACGCAGCTTTTCGCTTCTTAGTGTTTCTCGTTTGATCTTCGTCATCCTGCCTACCGCGTTTGTCTTGGTTCTCTTTCGCGGTCACTGCCATTGCCGCTCGGTGCTCTCGACGAGCTTGTTTGGCGGCTTTAGCACTGTCCCCTTGCTGCTTACTTGGAGCTGCGTATATTGCATCTGACTGATACTCGTCTAGGACGTAAGGCCTGATAGTGCGATGCATTTGGTCGATTTTTTCTGCATTTCGCGGAGGCGGCGGCATCGTCTCCAGGTAGCTGCTGAACATGCGCGTCACCTTGTGGCGTTCGGTGAGATGGCCATCGAGCTTCCTACGCAGATCCTTCTCCACTGCAATGCTGGTGGGGCCCTTTTTGCAGATCACAACCCCCGGTTTCGTGGAATCCATTGAAAATATTTGAAACTGCTGCACGCCAAGCAATTTCTTGTAGAGCTCTGTGAGTAGTGGCTTGTAGCTCTTGAAGAACCCATCGTCCCGTGAAATGTGCACAGTTTCATTGGATGAAGCGGCTTCTTTTACTTCTCGGACAATCTGACCCAAAGTCCAGCAGTCTGTGCGGGCGAGGTGCTTGCGAATATGACCAAAGCCACGGTCACATGAATTCTTAGTGTGTCCTTTCACGAAGAACTTATAATCCACGCTCTCAAAAACCTCTATGTGGGCTTGTGCTAGCAGAAACTTGATCACGTAGTTATTTTTATTCTGGCCAGAGCAGTTGTCAGCGTATATCACCAATCGTTTTTTGCCAGCAGGAACCAACACATTGTCGATAAAGTGCTGCAGCGTGGAGCTGATTTGCTCGCTTCCCTTCCCACCGACAGACTCATCGTAGATGTAGTTCGTTTGCTTGCCTTCATTCTCGTAGTATATCCCAAACACACTGACAGAGACCAACGAGCAGAAGTACCATTGCGACGGCGTAGATGTGACGGACGGAGCAGTCAGATTCTGAGAGTAATCCATAACGATTACTGCGACGTCCTTGCCCTCTGTTGTCTTTACGAGAGCCTTATCCCTGTTATATTCCTGTCTACAAATACACCAGCAAAATAAAATGATATTAGTGTCCACCTTGGAAATTGCTAGTAAAACAAAATGATACTCATATCCCAGATCCAAAATTACCTCATTTCCCTAGCAGACAGTGTGTGCTTGCCCAACTCCTCCGTTTGCTCTGCGGTAGCCCCTCCACGCATTCGCGACTGGTAAATGGAACACAAGTCACACACGTTCGAACGGCCAGATCGGATGCGAATGTTGGGGCAGTGCAGCGTTAAAAGTTGCCTCATAGTAGACTTGGCTGGCTCCCGAACTCGAATCCTGCTTTCCTCCACGTATGTGTGCATTTCATCATAGATCGCATCCCACGTGAACGTCGGCGGCAGCAAAGTGTACATCTCAGAGCTGTAGTACTTTTTCACTGTGCCATTCGCCGTCTTCTGCAGCCGAACACGCACTGGTACTACTTCCCCGACCTCCGCAGAGAACTCTTTAAACCACTTCACCAGCCACACGAGATCGATGACAGAAGCGTGCTTGTTCAGTGTGTTCCAGTGCGCCTTAGCTGCAATGTTTCCTTCGCGCACACGCTTCTTGTATCGCTGGATAGTCAAAGGAGTTACCCCGAGACATTCTGCAAACATGGGCCGGCAAAATCTCCCAACCAGTGGCAGGTTGTAGTGAAATTTCTCGCGTTTTCCGTCTCCTCGGTGCCTCTCCACAGTATCCGTCTGCATGAGAACGCCCAGCATCGTGTAGAGGCTTGTCAACTTCTCTGATCTGGTCATCTGTGAGATTGAACACACGAGCCACTCAAGTTCTTGGGCTTTTCCCTGAAGACATCGGCGATCACACTTGTCGGCCTGAATTAGACCCGCCACTGTTTGTTGCAGACTCACCTCAATCAAATTGATACTTATGTCCTCCTCCTCTTTAGCTGCGTCGCTTACACCACTCTCACCAGTGCTTGCCTCCTCGTCTTCCTCTTCATCTTCATTGTCGTCACTCCAATCTTCGTCGTCACTGTCGTCAGCTTCCTCATCGCTCTCCTGTTCGTCTTCACTCCCTTCATCTGCTTCATCGCTGGCAGGCGACCCTTCCTGCTGGAGTACTGTAGCGGAGGGCAAAGCGACACGAAAAGCAGTAGGTTGAGCGATACTTGTTAAGTCGGCGGTGGCCGTGTTTGTGTGCGCCCTGGTGTCGGCTGGTTGCTTCGTGGCACGGTGGGGGCCGTGCTCTCCCGCATTGACCAGGACAGGGGGAGCAGGGGGCGGCACTGGAACAGCGACGGCAGGAGCGGGTGTCGTCGTGTTGCTTTTGGTCTCGGGGCACTGCATTCTCGAGGCTGGAGTGCTCTGTTCGGGAATGATACACCTGCTTCAAATTTCTGAAAAACTTTGACGCTTGTTTTTTCAGCTACTCGATAAAGTGCGAAAACACGTGGGCGATCGATAACTCCAAATGGTTGATTAGTATCATTATGTCTCGCGCAGTCTCATATAAGAGATTACTACTTAGCAACCCATAGTGAAATCAATTAATTGGCACGGCCGTCACATTTTATGCACTGTTTTAATTTGTCCTACTGAACGCACCATAGCTGATGTAAAACAATTCAATAGCCAGGGAAGTATACAATTGTGTCAGCTTTTGATTGATGCCAAGGCCATATTTTGCTTTTTACTACACCTTTGTGCACTCAACCTCGTAGAAAACGGCAGTCAAACTCGTAGCTTAAAAATTGGCAAATAGGAAAATTACGGTAGGAGCCGCTAATCAGTATTCAATGTTGAAAAAACTGCAATCAACCTCGTACAAGATTTGCGTATCGACAAGATTTGTAGATCAAAAGATACAATCAAAACAAGAGAAGGTTGCTTTGAACGGCCCTTAATTGGCATTTTCCCTTATTGTTTTGTGTCATGCGAGTACAGACACTTGTCACCGAAGCGACAGTTCTTCGTGCGAATAAAGTTATCGCAAACTCGTCTGCGGGCCTTGTCGAGTGCACGTCCAGACTTCATGGCTTTAGTCTCCGTGTGCTCAAAGTTGCAGCGGTCGCCCCATTTGCATTCTCCACGCATAAAGTCATAGCAAACTTTGACTGTGTGTCGCACCTTCTTCTGCTGCGCTCGCTGCTTGTGCCACTTTCCAGCACGATGTTCGCCCAGTTGGGCGGGACTTGTGAACGATTTATTGCAGAGAGCACAATGCAGCGTTTTGTCTCCAGTTTGTACGCGCTCCAAGTGTTCCTTGGATGCTTGATGGGCCTGAAAGTCCTCTATATCCTTACCAATGAACTTGCATGGCTTGCAGGCGAACGGGATCTTCTTAGGGAACGTCAACGCGTCTCCCAGCTGCTCCAGTGCCTTGTTAGCCGCCCATTCATTCTCCTCCTGCTGCGTTTTCTTTCGCTTCTTCTTAAATGATGGCAGGTTCGACGAGGGTCTTGCAGACGGTAGCATTTTCTCAGGCAGTGACTCGATGCGCTCCGAAGCGTAAGCCGACAGGTTCACGACAGCCTTTAGCTGTTCATTGTCAGAATCTGACTCCGTTTCCGAGTCGGAGTCCGAATCGCTGGAGTCATCGCCTCCACCTTGGAGCTCTGCTTCGAGTCGCTTGATTCGATCAGCGATATTCTCCTCCTCGGTCTTTTTCTTCTTGCTCTGCAGAGCGCTCTCAGCGGACTGCTTGAGGCGCTTTGCTATAGGCTCCATTATTGCGTTTACCACTGGTCAGGAACTCATGAAATCGTAAGGGATAGGGAACGAGCTTACTGAAATGCAGTCAACAGAAGGTTTGGCTCACATTGTACTGTAGTAACTTTGGTTGAAGTTTGCCTAAAGTGGTCTCCATCTGGTACTACCTGGTACTGAAGTAGGCCTTTGCTCCTCTTCATCTCTCGCCTAGAAAACGACATCTGCGTCCGCAGAGGGCTCGTATTGGGCAAGGATGTCGCGGTCCGATGCCACGACGTCTGCGAATGGGTCGTCGTCCACAGCGGCGCCCGAGGACTTTTTAGACTCCGCTGCTTCTACAATTTAAAGCACATTAAAAAAAAGAATCAGTTCTTTACCAGTTCAATGCTGAGCCAACAAGCAGAAGTGTACCCTTTTCTCTCGCCAAGACGGCCTTCTCGTGGTCTTGCTTGTTCGCTTGCACCTTTTTGATGCTGCAATTTGCCACATCAGACATGGAACGTCACCGTGAGCCAGGCAAAAAAAATGACTAGCCAATAGCTTTTAATACAGCCATCAAAGACATACCGCACAAAGTCCTCACGCTCCAGCTCATCCAGTTCTCTGGTGATGTACGAGATGGTCTTCTCGATGCGGGGGATGGTCACCTACATATCCAAAAACACTCTTCAGTACTTATTGTAGCAGCATGGAACATCAACACAAGGGCTTACGTTGTCCAATGCGTTCACACGACGGTTGGTGACTTTCAGAGCCTCATCCAGCGTCACGAAAGAGGTCTGTCGCCATGCAAGCGATTAAGTCAGCAGACACACTATCAGTTTTCGTCTTGGCTGAAGCCCCACCTGTAGAGAAGCCAGCTTGATCAACGCCCGCAGCAGCACGCGGAATTTCTCGCGGCAGTTTTGGATCTTGCCACCTCCACCGGCCAGACCGATGTTCTCGCTCTTCTCGCGACTCACTTCGACCTCCGTGAACACTGGCAACTTGACGCCAGCCACGTTGTCGATGCGGTTCTGGGTGCGGATCTCTGCCGTGCTCACCGACTCGATGACCTTGTTACGGAAGTCACCGGCCGCGTACTGCGCCTGCGTGAGCGAGAAGAAGGCCTCCGACGCCTCTGTCGACATCGACATTTTGGTCTGCTCGCAGAATTCCACCAAAACGTTTACATATCCAGCGATTACAAAAGCTATTGATGCCAGGCAGACCTTCTGGATCTCCCGTAGCATGGCCTGGAAGCGCATCTTCAGCGCATCAGCCTTCTTCTTCAACAGTTCAAACCCTTCATGCGGCAGTTAAGATTGAGCTTCAAAAGCGAGGAGAGGTAAAGGGCGACGTTCTAGGTACCCTTCTTCGCGCCGACACGCTTGCCCTTGAAGGTCGTCAGCGCCCTGTGACCAGGCAACCAGCGTTAGTGCACACAATCCTGACACAGTTTGAGCATCTGCAGACCATGTAGTAGTACTACAGTAGCTATCGACTCCTTACATGCGCGTGGGGGCCACTTGAACCGACGACATGTCAGCTCTCTTTCTGGTTGACAACAGAAGACTGCCAAAGATATTGATTAGAGGCGTTGCGTTTCTGTAAACCCTTAAGTGGTGTAAGACCTAATATGAACACAAATCTGATTGCAGCTGAAGTTCGCTCACACGCTCATACTCAGAGTCCGCAATGGTCTCGGACTGGTTTGAGACGTCTGGCGCCCGAAAGCTGCGCGACGCCAGCGCGCACAGCTACCAGGAACACCTACGCCACAGTGAGAGCTGTGTGTCGCCCCTGTTTGAGGAAGATGCACGCCAGATCGAGCTGGATCTGCCTCGGACGGGTGAGTCTATCCGCCTCTTTCTGCTATCTCATAGCGAGAGGGAGGCGTTCCAGGAGGACGAAGAGCTGCCACAGCATGTTATGCAGCGGTTTCTGCCTCAACTGAAGAATATCTTAGTGGCTTACAGTATGGTACGTGGCGGGTTTATGTAGCTTTTGGATAGGAGCGATGCAGAGAGCCATCGGTCTCACTTTTTTTCCCTGCAGAGAAACCCTCGAGTGGGATACGTTCAGGGTCACGCAGACGTCCTGTGCTTCCTCTTTGGGAATGTCAATGAGCGAAGAGATGAGGAGGAGACGTTTTGGGTCTACGCCAGTGTCATTGAGAGGTCCGAGAGGGCAAATTGCTATACCCTCACTTGATATTGTGGCTAACTGTGGACTGGGTGGCCACTGCAGAGTTTTTCCTGAGGACTTCTTTGCTAGGACACCAAAGCTGCACGGCTTTCAAGTAGTAAGCTGCTGTTAGGGGGGGGGGGGTAGCACTGTTGTTGCCCATTATCTGACAGGCTCTTATATGACAGGACTGCAAGCTGTATAACGAACTGGTTGTGAGGAAACTTGTACCGCTTTATCCCATCTTGGCCAAGGTGAGGACTGTACTCGTGGGTATTGGTGGTGATTGATAGTTAAATGTTTAGGGTGTGGATGTTATTAGATTGATCTGCCTCTTGTGACGACGCTGTTGTCTTGCAAATGGTTCGTCTCGCTTTGGGTTGGAGAGTTGCCTCTACCGCTACTATACGAGGTCTGGGACACAATGCTTCGGGAAGATGACGGCACGATACTGCATCTACTGGTTGCTCTGCATTTCTTTAGACTTGCGGTGGACGAGATCCAGCTCCACATGGTACGTGAGATACTTTCCGAAAGGTGAAGAAACCTAACACTCAGTCCTAAACCTCTCACAGGAAATGGAGCAGTGGGACTCGAGTTACATCTACAAGATCATACTGGGCCAGTGCCAGAACGCTACGGAAATCGCTCCTCAGACGCTGCTTCAACAAGCACAGACACTTTACGGTTTCAAGGACGAGTCAGTTGAGGACATGCGAGCTGCAATTCGACGCCTTCCTCAATTACGCAAGGCGGAGCTCACGGTTTTAGCCAAGCAAACGCATTTCAGTCGCTTGGAAATGGAGCGACTGCAGGACGAGTTTACGTTCCTTCGTTATCAAAGGAAAACGTGTGGTCGCTCCAAGCTGCGTGGGTTAAGGCAAAAGGAGCTGGAAAGTATACTTGCACGAGAGTTTAACACAGTAAGGACCCTATGTCGAACTCGCACGTGGCAATGTTGCCCGTCACCTTTTGCATTTGCTGACTCTTGTTTCTTCAGTGGCCGATGGATATCTATGGACGAATCTACAGTCTTCTAAGGCCCGACGGATACGGAAATATTTCCTATTACAACTTGATAAAGGTGTGGACATGTACCCCTTGTGATGCAAAGTATTGCCGAAGGTGGCTAAATCCTTGCTGTAGTTTCTATCGGTCGCAAGTCGTGGGGGGGCAGAGGAAAAAGCACATTTATTGTTCCAGATTTCTAACCAGCAGAGTCGCGAATATCTTAATCAGCAAGACATCGAAAAGCTTACAGGTGAGTCTGGAGGGGGCTCATACAGTAGAGACTTTAGCTGACATAATCGATTCTCTTATCTTCTCCTGGTTCAGATTTACTATGCTGCCTACTGACAAATCGCATGGTGGCAGATGCGGAAGAGCCTCAACGACGTGATCATGTCGATTCAGTCTCTGATGCCGCCAAAAGTCCACTGCTACGAATGCACTTTCGAACCAAACTACAGTCGCTGGCAACATCAGATGGCCGGCTTCAGTATACTAAGTGGCTCGAATTTGCTCTTGCGGACAGCGAAATGGCTCAATTGATGGAGTGGGAGATGATCAATCGTCGCTCCGGAGGAACTCTCCGCTTGAAAACCCGCTCTGTGAGCTTTTGGGGTGTGACCCCGGTTCAACCAGCACTGAGCAGGGCGTCCTCGGACTCAACACTACAACTGCAGCAACAACATTCTTCAAAAAGGTTGTTGAATTCTACTGAAGGGGAATCTGAACGCAATACCGAGCACACGTCTGGAATCAGAGAGTCCAACAACTTCGGAGTCGAATCTGCACCATTTCTGAAGAAATCAGCTTTGGTGACGGAGCAAGGTCTTGTGGGACGACGGCACGTTACTCTTCTCTCGAGAAAGATGAGCAAAAAGTTTAAGGCATGTTGGCCACCTGATGAAGCGGATCCATTGGTCCGAAACCCTTTCAAAGAGCCTCCCGAGGCGGCTAGCTCCGGGGGTCCGTACGTGTTTTGGTGTCAATGCACAGTAAGTTGAAACTGGAGCATTTTGTAAAGAAACTCCATTATTGGCCATGTTACTCGCTTGCAAAAGTGGTTAATGATATGAGGTAGTCGACGTAGGCGACCACGTTGTCGTTTATGCTCTTGCCCTGGTTGAGCGAGAACATGTCGGTGAGAAGACCACACAAGATCTGGGGAATAGCACAGTGACGCATTACCTGGGCGGTTCTGAAAGAATACTCGCTCTCTTCGCTGCCGCGCACAACATTAAAGACGAACGAGTTGGCGCTGTAGCCCCAGCTCGCGATGTCCGCGTAAGGAAAGAGTGCTAATACTTCATCGCCGGCGCCTAAGATGCTGATACCCACGTCGTTGATAGCAAGAATGACACGAGCTGGCAGTACCGCGAGCTGGCGTGAATTCCTAACGTGGAAAAGCGTCAAGCCATAAAGTGGTTGACGCTTGCAGAGACGCAAGTATGCCAGTCGAGCATGCTGGGTCGACTGCACGCACCAACTATTCACGAAGGCGTCAAAGCTAGCAAGTACCTGCTCAGCAATGGCAGCGCGATTCGATGCACTGAGCAGTGGAGCAGGAATGTACTCTTGAACATCGGTTCTGATCGTAGGAAAAAAAATACCGAGTGAATAACCAATATCGGTCAAAACCTACACCACGTACGTGATTTGGCTAAGCGTTGGGATCTGGTCACTGCCCAGTTTGCAGAACAATTGATAGCCAGCTAGCTCGACTGCTACATCCAGGTCACAGACGTATCGCCCACTGAGTACATTGTGTACAGCTTGTAGGTAGTAGAGTCCGACATCAGCTGCAGTTTCATCGTCCACATGTACCCACAGATACGCCTTGTAAGTGAGGTGATATCCTTCTACAGCGAGGGCTTTCGTCGGTTCCTGTGGGCTAGTTATCTTGTCTTTCTTCTTCTTTTGCTTGAGCTCGCTCACATCAATGTGCGTGCGCTCCCACTCAGCGTAGAGATCCATAACGCGCTCATTGTCAGGAACGAGGTGTTCTTCTTCGTCATCGTTGGTCTCGAAAAGCGCAAAAGCTTTCTCGTGACAGACTCCTAGTTTGCGCGCTACGAGGCCAGCAAGTTCACGGCTTGTCGTCCATGCACTGACCTGCATGATTAGAGCTGAGCCATCGGCCAGCATCACGGTGATATCATTGAGGGCATGACGTTGTAGTGCCCTCAACTCTGCTGCACTTGGGATTTCTTTGCGCTCGCCTTTAGTGGCACAGCAACCTAGAGACGCTAGTGCTTCCGATGCGTATGCTGACACTTCAGAGCTCGCCTCCGAGTCACCACTTGCTCCAATATGAACGCTAATGAACCTCTCGAGACACTCAGCCAATGGCGGAGACGGTGGGAAAGTCACAAGACACGCGTTCAGGAGCAACCACCCGTTCATAGCAGCATTTCTGACAGTAAACACAGGCAGAATTAGTACAGTCCACTCAAGATATCAATGACCTACACGCTGGGGTTGCGAGTGAGCTGCTTGCACATTTGACAGTAGATTTCGTCCTTCAATGCCGGCGACCGAGGGACGACGTTGCGCAGCAGCTTAAAGCAGTGGTCGATCTGGTTCTTGCCACTTGCTCGATTCCCCATGAAGCCAGACACGTTGCGGAACGCTTGTATTGCAATTGCAGTCTGGTCTCTTGGAAGACGCGTCAATGGGGTCGAGATGAGTTTGTTCTCCCATTCGAGACGTTTGCTCAGGTCGAAATCGACAGGTTTGTGGAAAGGTGAAGCACGCGGCGCCGTGAGGTTGAAGTGAGTTTGAGCAAATGCGAGTAGTGGATGGACATCGAACATCATCGCTGGAGCAAACTCGAGTGCAGATTGCTTCTTCTTCTTCTTCTTCAACTGTTTGTCCTTAAAAGTCTTTTTAGGGTGCAAAACCTCTGGGGCGAGATGAGGCAGCTGGTCGAAGGGCATTTGACGCAGGTCGTCTTCTGCGTTCGGACTATTCGCTTCAGCTCCCTGATGATCTACGTCTTGAAGGGCCTTCGACGTATCATCGTCGCTTTCATTGCACTTTGCGTTGAGATCGAGAGGAATTTGCTCCAAGTTGAGACCAGTCTGAAGCTCAGACTGCGACTCCCACGCTGACGATCCGAGTTTGGATTCGGCGTCTTCATCGTCGTCACCGTCATCAGCTGCCCAACTGTCTGGGTCGTGAGCTAGCTCCGAGATAGCTGCCAGCTCTTCCAAACTGGGTCCTGTCTCCGCGTCAAAGCTCGACGACATGGCACCTCTGCAGTCCACGGAGCACCAAGACACTTGACTCCTAATTTAGCAGAGACCTTGTTGAAATGGCTATTGTTCATCCATTTATCCCCAACCCATTACACTGTACTCTTGGCCACTAAAAATGAGAGGGGATCTTCTTCTTGTCCTGCAGATTTTCGCAACTGATTGACAGCATGAGTTGCCCATGCAGGGCACACTCATACACGCAGGTGAGCTCCAGCTGTCGGGTGGCCTCGAGACAGCACCAAATTTGTCTGCCCCGGCTAGAAGAAAGACTCGACATGAAGCCAGCTAGCTAGCTACCCAGAGTTGGCCACATCCGAGTTGCAGTCCACTACGATGGCTGCGTATCAAAGCCTTGTGAGTCACAAGTTGTGACAACATGAAAAAATGCTCGTCCAGCGAAAAGTGACAGCCTTGTTTTATGGTTAAATCGATTAAATAGCAGCTGATTGTTTTTGATTTGCTTAATATTACTCTGCCAATGAAAATGTCGCGTAAGATACCCTATCCTTCGAAGCCATAGTGCGTTGGTCGCCTCATTCATTTTTCCGCCGAGCCTCGAGCAGATCGATCGTCCAGCAGCCCAAAAAGATGGCGAACGATTCTAAGCAGCCACCTGTTCCTGGCCTCGACGGAGAGCTGCTGCTGCCTGCAGATGTACACGACATCACTGAAGAAGGTTCGGACATGACGCGCGACATCTTCTTCGCCATCCTCAAGGAGACACAAGACGGTCCTCCGCGTCCGAAGTCGCTGCCAGATCAGAGCGACATTCTGCACGAGGACATCGGTACGTGCAACACGTAAGAGCTGCGAATGCTGTTTCCTGCGCTAATTGGTACTTTATTGCTGGCACAGGCAAGGCGTCGGACATTGCGCGGCCCGGAGGGTTCCGTCGCGACCACGTGATCGCCAATTTAGGAGGCAACAGTCCGCACCTGCCATCATACGTACAGGACTCGTTCCTCGAATCTATTCAGCCCACGCCGGGCTTCCTTGAGTCCGCGTACGGAGACTTCATCGTGGCCAATCTCGGACTTGCAGACGACGACGAGTCAGATGTACGTGGCAAGGGCAAGCCAGCTGTGAAATGCAGATGTGCTGTAATAGTTGCCTGACTGAATATAAACCTTATCTTGCTATGTAGGAGACAGCGACACCGCTCCTAACCCGCGCATGGAAGCGCAGGCCGGAGAAGCAACAGCCTGGTGCCACCGTCGGGAAGACCGTGTTCACGATCCTCAAGTCGTTCATTGGTAGCGGCATCTTGTTCCTGCCCAAGGGTTTCCAGAACGGAGGCATGCTCTTCTCGCTAGCAGCATTGTGTGTCTCCGCAATACTGTCTACCTTCTGTATGCTGCGTCTAACAGACTGTTCCAACGTGTTGCTACGTGCCGGTCGCACTAACGTGTCGTACGGGCTTGTGGGAGAAAAGGCCTTCGGTAAAGTAGGCCGCGTGGCTGTGAATATCTCGCTCGTGCTCTCGCAGATCGGATTCTGCTGCTCGTACTTGATCTTTGTGGAGAAAAATATCGGAGAAGTTATCTTAGCCGCCTTCGGGATCCAGAGAACCACAGCGTCGTCATCATTGACGCTCATTATGCTCCAGATCTTGCTGTACACGCCACTGTCGTGGGTGCGTCGCATCGAATACTTCGCGCTCACGAACCTGTTCGCCGACCTCCTCATTCTATTTGGCATCGTCTACATCATCTCTTACACGGTGCAGACGCTGGATGACGCGCCGGTTGGCAGTGCGACGTGGGAAAACTTTAACTCAACGAGCTGGGCCATGCTCCTGGGTACAGCTGTCTACTGCTTTGAAGGCATTGGACTGGTACTTCCCATCTACGACGCCATGGACGATGATATCAAGCACAAGTTCCCACGCATCGTCTCCCTGACCATGTTGTTCCTCGTGACGCTCTTCTCGGTGTTTGCTGGACTGGTGTACGCTGCGTTTGGCCAGGAGACGCAGTCTGTTGTCACGCTCAATCTACCCAGCGCCCAAGACAGCATTGCTACCATGTCTGTGCAGATCACGTACTCGCTGGCGCTTGTGTTCACGTACCCACTCATGCTGTATCCGGTGGTAAAGATCCTGGAAGGTTATCTATTCCCTCATCACAGTCAAAAAGGTTATTGGCGTTGGGAGAAGAACGGGTTCCGCTTTGCGCTTGTGTGTCTCACTGCTGCAATCGCGTATTTCGGCAAAGAGGAGCTGGACAACTTCGTGGCGCTTATTGGTGGCTTCTGCTCCGTGCCGCTGGCCTTCATCTATCCGTGTATGTTCCATTCGAAGCTGGTGGATGACGGTCGTACCTTGAACAACGTCGTCATAGCACTGGGCATCTTCACAATGGTCTTTGCAACATACCAGGCGGTGTCGACATGGAACTAGTAGATCAAAAGCAGTGAACTTGTAGGGGCTACTCTTCGTAGATTAACGCTCGCAAGTGCTGCCGTTTAGTCGTGAGGAGTCTTATACTCGTCAACGTGTCATGGGGAATGTTACGATGGACTTCGACGTGTTTTGGACCTCTTTTCGCGCTCTCGGTCGCGTTTCTTGTGTTTCCTGTGTTTCTTATGCTTCTTATGCTTCTTCTCATGGCGATCGGGTGTTGGCGACGTCTTTTCTTTCATAGGCTTGACATCGTCGTCATCAGATTCTTCAGACCTGAAGGCAGGTGCGTTCTCCACAGACACAGTGCCCTCCGAGTGTAAGTTTTCCCAAAGTTTTCTGGTCTTGTCGGCCTTTTTCCGAGCCCAATAGCTGCGTTCGTCCTCCTCATCCTTCTTTTTACCGTGCGTCTTCGATCCAGGGCTACGATCGCGACTCCGACTGCGTTTAGATGAGCTCCGTCTGGTTCTGCTTCGACTACGATGCCTCAAGGTACTCCGACCGCCAGTGCGACTGCGACTGTGACTGCGAGTGTGACTGTGACTGTGACTGTGACTGCGACTGTGACTGCGACTGTGCCTGGCTGCCCTCCAGTCTCTTGACTCGTCCAGCTTGCGTTCCATCCGCCTCAGTGTCCAGCATTTGTCCTCCTCCTGGCGCCGATTGTGCGAGTTCACACTGCAGCAACCAAACACAGCAAATCTCAGTACAGAGCGTCGCCATAAAGAGCCTTCAGCACAGTACGAACGAACCCTCGGATAGTGCTGGCCAGGAACGTCTTGTTCACATCTGCTCGCTGGTCGCTGTCCTGCACCGTCACAGCCAAGTTAGAGCACATTAAAAGGATCACACTATCTCGCGCCATGTGCAGCTCATACCAGATACCCCATGACGCCCCTGGGTCCCTCTACGCGCGGCTTCAGCGCCGCAATCTGCCTGGCGATCTCCGCCGCCGCGATGCCATCGTCCGACATTTGTTGGGACTTTTTAGTGGTTTAAATTCGATCTTTTCAAAATTACCGTAATACACCCGAATAATAGACCCTTGCTCTCACCCCATCATTGACCCGCAGAATGGTGAAGCGCTTGGCGTCGCCTTCCTCCAGTCTCGGCAAGAAGCAACGCATCGAAGAGCCCAGTCGAGCCATGCAAAACACTCTGCAAAGTACCGTGAAGCTCACGCCAGCTGAGGAGAAGCTCTTCGCCTTCCTCTTGGACGTGGCCGCCCAGCCCGCAGCTGACGGCGCAGTGCTCCGAGTTGCTGGTGGCTGGGTACGCGACAAGCTGCTAGGCCGAGACAGCGATGACGTGGACATCGTGCTGGACCGCATGACGGGACGCGCTTTTGCGGACCTAGTGAACGCATTCGAGACGGCACAAGGCCGTACAGCGCGAACTGTGGGTGTCATTAAGGCCAACCCGGATCAGAGCAAGCACTTGGAGACGGCCACCATGCAGATCGGAGAAGATATGGGCTGGGTGGACTTCGTCAACCTCCGAGCTGAGACGTACGCGTCCGAGGACAATCGTATTCCGACCGTGGAGATCGGAACACCCCAACAGGACGCCGAGCGCCGCGACTTCACCATCAACAGTCTCTTCTACAATTTGGCTACGAAGCAGGTGGAAGACTACACAGGTCGGGGCGTCGAAGACTTAAGGCACGGACGTCTGCGTACACCTCTAGAACCGCGTGTTACGTTTCTGGATGATCCACTGCGTGTACTGCGTGCCGTGCGCTTTGCCTCCCGTTTTAACTGCACGCTAGAGGACGATCTACGCGCTGCAGCGCAATTGGAGGAAGTCAGAGTGGCGCTCGTACGCAAGGTGAGTCGCGAACGTGTAGGTAAGGAGCTCTCCGGCATGCTCACGGGTAGTGCTGCGCATCCTGAACGTGCGTTGTGCTTGCTACACGACCTGCATCTGTGCGAGAGCGTGTTCCTGCCCTCGGCTCTGCTAGAGAACACACCCACCTGTAGTCCAGACGGTGAGTTGGAGAGCATTGATGATAATGTGTGGGATCGTTGCTACGCGTACGTGTCAGAGATGCATCGCCACTTGACTTTGGATGGAGGTGTGGATGTTGACAATCTAGCGGAGGAGAAAAAGCATGAGCTTTCAGTCCACATCTTGGCTTCTCTAATGCTGCCATTCCGTAGACTCTGTGTGCGTGACAAGCGCCGCCGCTCAGTGGCTACGTTCGTGGTGCAAGACTCGCTCAAGCTGCCTAACCGCGATGCTAAGGACGTGGACAATGCATTGGCTCATGTTGATAAACTCCAACAGGCAACAGCAGATGCATTCGACCGTGTCAAGGCGGGTCTTCTTATCCGCAGCATCGGTGCCCAGTGGGAGATCTGTCGTGATGTTGCACTAGTGCAAGAACTCGCGGATGCCGGGTCGGTAGATGAAGCTGCAGAGGCCCGTGCCTTGGTGTTGAAGCGTTACGACACTTTCAGCTCACAGGTCCGAGATGCCGGCTTAGATGGCGTTTGGGAACTCAAGCCGCTGCTCAATGTAAGTCGCTGCAAGTCTGACGTTGAGTCTTGATTAATGTAGAGCTAACACTGTGGTTGACAGGGTAACGACCTGGTGAAGCAGCTTGGCGTGAAACCTGGCCCGCACATGAAGGAGCTGCTCGATCGTATTATGGCGTGGCAACTCTTTAATCCTGAGAAAACTCGTGATGAGTGTATGGATCACTTCAAGGCAGTAATCGCTGCTGAGGCGAAGTAGGATTGCAGCAATAGAAAGACTTGGATGCAGACACGTAGGTAGTCGGATTACTAGATACACAGATGCAGGCTGTACTCCCTTCTATCTAGATGACGGCGCTGAAGTCGTTGCGCTTGTCGCCTGACACCAGCAGTTTATGAGGAAACGAAGCGTTCTCGTCCACAGTCTCGATCCGCTCCAGGCAGAAGAAAGCCACTTTGGGCGAGTCTTTGGTCTCTCGCACGCGGAAGCCCACGGCCTCCAAGATCTTGGTGAAGCGCGCGTACGTCATGAACTGGGAGTGACGCAAACACAGCAGCGGCAGCATTAGAAACAACAAGCCGCCTTCCTTCAAGTGTTCCCGATAAAGTCGCAGCATTTCGCCGCGTTTGTCGGCTCCAGGGACGCAGTTGAGCACCATACTGGACACAAGAACTTGGAACTCGCCCGCTGGTTTGAGGCTAAAAAAGTCGCGCTGCTCAATGCGTTCGTGTCTCGAGTTAAGATCGATAGCTCGCACATCCATCCATGGACACGACAGCAGCTGCGTGTTGATAGCGCCAACCTCCAACACCCGCAACGGTGGCTGCTTGGCTTTGGGCCGCAGCTCAAAGCGCGTGAGCAACTGGAAGACCCACTTGGAAGTGCGATGGAAGCTCGTACTGAGGATGCTAGCATCCTGGTAGGCCTGTCGCCCGCCTAGCTCCTCCAGCTGCCTCTTGATCTCAGCAACGCGCAGTTTCTGGGCGTCAGCGTCCGCTGACTTTTGCTGCTTGAGATGGTCCAGCTCATGCGTCAACCGGTGGAAGTTCGTGGTCACCTGTCGAGCTTTACGCCGAGATTTCATGCGTGGCGGTGCAATATGAAGCGCCCTGCGGGACTTCTTGGTCGTCTTCACCTGCTTGGTCGCCGGCTTCGACGCTGCAGCGCCGCCGCCATTCGCAGCGCTGACACCCATCAGGAAAATGCCAAAGCTAAGTTGCAGTTGAAGCAACTTAAGCTTTCTAATGTTGCATAAGTGCGACTACCAAATGAAGATCATCGTTTCCCACTGCGTAATTTACCAGCGATTAACTGGACTATGCATGGTCGCTGATGACTCACTGAGGGACGTGGCACCATCGCAGGACGAAGCAAGTGTCTCATTCCGCGAGTAAACACCGAGAAGACACTCGTTGTTCTCGATACTGTTGTCCTACTCAGTGAGAAGATCTCACAAGACAGGAACCTCGATTCCAGTTCCGCCCACCGGGCTTAGAACGCTCGTAGCTTGGCTCCAACCGTGCCGGTACTTCGTCACATGTTGCAGGTGCGAGTCGATGAACATTCCGAACGCTGTGCCAATCGCTACTTGGCTCGTATAGCGACACTCACCAAAAATAAAAATGCCTCGACACCTGTGTAGCCGCTATATTATCGACGGCCGGATCCGAGTTCGCAAGTGGTACTACTAGTCGTATTTCGTTGACCAACCGTGAGTTGTTGATAGGAGCGATTAAAATTGTTGCTCAAGAGTTGAGCCCGGGCGGAATGATGAGTCTCTCGTCGAGGATGCACGTAGTAAAAGTAGCGTTATCCGCTACTACTGCAGTAAAAGGCAAGCGCGTGCCTTGTAAATATAGCAGCATACTGCACCACTGTGGCCCGCTGCGCTACAGCCACCCCAAAGTACAGGCTTTTACCATGGCTGAGTTTATGGACGATATTGCTGCTGAGAGCTCGATGTCATATTTGCAGGTAAGACGCTTGCAAGTAAAGGTCTGCGACTGCCAATGATCTTGCTTGACTGGCAGTTTCTCGACCTTCGCACAATAGAAGCAGAATAGTTCCTGAAACGCACTCAGATCAGAGCCAACACCACAACACATAAGACTTACAGAGTCTTTACAAACGCTTTCAAGATGCAGAAATTGAAAGAAAAAATGTGAAAACCGACACTACTGTCGAACTCTGCGCCTGCTCTCTTGCTATTTCTCGTGAGCTCAAGCATAGCGACGCGTCCACTCCGCAGCTACAGTAGCAAGCGTACAGCACAATCAGTTAGCTCATATAACTTCCGTCGCCCTCTCTCTTGGTCAACGTACCCATCTGCACCGCTCCAACCTCATCTGTCTTCCAGTGGTCTGCGACGTCGTTGGCCAGCGGATCGTCCGGGTTGGGAGCTGACAGCAGCGCCTGAATGCTCAGCAGCACAGTGCGGATCTGCAGGGCGGGGGACCACTTGTCCTTGAGGATGTCGAGGCAGATGCGACCAAGCTTGTCGATGTTGGGGTGGTAGATGCGCGTCAGGAAGCGCACCTTGGGAGGGGCCATCGGATAGTCGGCCGGCAGAAACAGCTCCAGCTTAAAGATACCATCTGCAAACAGCACTTTAGTGTAAGTTTCACACCCGTCCAAAGTCATTTCCAGTCACGTACTCTCGTAAGGCGACGTCTGCGGACCGGCGATCACCACCTGGAAGTAGCGGAGGTTGTCTTCGTACGGCGTGGCGCTGATTCCAGCCACTGTAGACACACATCAGTCAGCTTGCAGTTCTGTGAATGTGTCTACATATCGATAATACACGCACCAGGCTCTGCTAGCAGTCGTTGGGTTTCCTACATGCAGCAGATAGAGCGTCAGTTTACTTGTCGTAGGGGTGCAATCCAGGGGCGTCGTCTACAGCAGCTCAGCGAGGAGAGGGGACGCATTTAGCAACGCTACGAGGTCGTACCTTGACGATGCGGCGCGGGAGAGCACTTGCCATGATTTCTTGAAGGTCTTCGGTTCACGTACGCGCCCAGACTGAGTTTCCTACTGCGATTCTCCCCATGCAAAGCGACGTTTCCTGTAATACTAAATACTATGTGATTGTAGAGGTGACCCAACAAAGTGATGGTCAGGTTGCAGTTGCCTTTTTTGTCCGCACTCCCTTGCCGATTCACTTGCAGTTGGTATGCCGCGCTATATATAGGGGGCGAAGGTGGCGGAGTGGAGGGCCAACCAAGAACGGAAACGGCTCCGACTTGAGAGCGCCCAGAGGAGCGACCGACGGATGCTGCGGGGGCTGACAGGAGGCAAAGATGGCGGACTTTGATGACATGGATGATTTCAACGACCACGCGGTGCAAGGGAAACCCATTAAGGCCTTCAAGAATGGCCACTTCGACAACCCGAAAGGTATGTGGTGAATGGGGATAAAGCTGAAGGTGATAAATTAATTTGTTTCGGGGTCGTCTGTAGTGCTATTCGTGCAGCACCATTGGACTTGGGATGAGTTCCTGTGTGCAGCTTCTCAGCGTCTGGAGATGGTCCCTATGGTCTCAAGAGTGTTTAACGCCGATGGGGCCGAGATTGACGACATAATGTGCATTGAGGAGAACGACATGCTGTTCTTTTCGACAGGGAGGTCCTTTAAGGCCCCAAATTCAAGAGGGGAAGACTCACAGAACAGCAGCGATGAGAAGGTTGCCAACGTCGTTGGAGGGTACAAGGTTACAACGCTGCTGGGTCGAGGAGGTTTTGGTGAAGTGCGACTGGGAGTACACCAGCTCACGAACGATAAAGTGGCGCTCAAGTTCATTCTGGTGAGAAAAACAAATAGCTTGAAAGGCTTTGAATCCGTGTTGGCTGGTGATTGACATGATCTTGTAGAAAAGCGAAATGGGGTCGTTGGGAGACGTTGAGCGCACAACAACGGAGATTCAGTGTCTGACAGTACGGTTTTCGTCTGTAAGAACTCTGCTTTTATTTGTTTTGCTAATATTTATTGGTTGGCTATGCAGGCACTGAATCACCCAAGTATCATCAAGCTACTGCGTGTTATCAACGAACCCAATCATATTGTCCTTGTATTCGAGCTGTTGGAAGGGTAAGCTCAACTAATTGCTTTGTAGTTAGGGACAAGTGCTGACATTTGCTGCTGTGTGCGCAGTGGTGACCTATTTCACTACATCAAGCAGTTCCCAGGCGGGTTGTCGGAAGAGGATGGCGTGGGGCTATTCTCACAAATTCTTGGTGGCGTCGGATACGCCCATAATCAACACATTTGCCACCGTGACCTCAAGCTAGAAAACATCTTGCTTACTAAGTACGCTTGGTATGATATCAGTCTGCCGCTCCCTACTAACGCAACTGTTTTGTTCTTCTATCAGTAAAAACGACATTTCAACATCCAAGATCGCAGATTTCGGTCTAAGCGATTTTTACAAACCTGGTGCTATGATGAAAACGAGCTGCGGGTCCATTTCGTACCTGGCACCGGAAGTATTTCGCGGGACTTCCAACGCCGGCCCTCCGCTCGATGTTTGGAGTCTTGGTGTAATATTGTTTGCGATCGTGTGTGGTCGACTGCCCTTCGAAGGCCCCGATCTCCAAGGGACCAACCGACCTCGTGAAAATGTCATCCGAAATCGCATCATGCGATGTCAGTTTAAGTTGGATGCGGATTTAAGTCCTGCACTGACCGATCTCGTGATTCGAATGCTCAAGCCTGATCCAAATGAGCGAGCTACCATTCCTGAGCTTTTTAGCCACCCTTGGGTGCGTGGCATTACTGGATCATCTGGTTGTCTGCCAACTGCATTCGCAAGCGCATCCTTACAAGACAATGTAGACGACGACGACGATGATGACGGGAGCTTTGCCATCACGTATACACCTGCATCTCCTTCCTCAATTGCAACCAAGACAAATGGCGAAGACAAGTTACCATCAATAATTCAACGACACTCTCGCTCAGATATTACGGTAGGAGGAATTTTACCAAGTGCAGCACCGGCCGCCACTCATCAGTTGATAGCAACAAGCGCCACCTCCAGCGGCAATACGGCAATATCATCAAGCGGAACTTCTAGTGGAACACCAACCGGGGGGCGGATACGCGCTGGACGAATTATGGACCACCCACTTCAACATAAAGAGACAATAAGAGCGGAGAAACACTCACCGCGCCCAACTGGATCTGGAAGTGCTGGGATGATGAACACACCCATGCCCATAGCGTTGAGCCCGAATCATCCTGTCACATTCAAACGGTATGCTTCGTCGACAGGTAATACTCGCTCAAGACCTCGCCAAGCTGTTTCATCCCCCACCAGTGGCTCAAGTAGTAGTGTTTTTAGCAACGGAAGTGACAAAACTCACGCGGAGCGAGCTCCAGCTCATCCCGGAGACTCTGATCGATTGCCAGTAGCACATCACAAACACCCAAGACGACGATCCGATAACGTTGACGATGTAGGAGATTTTGCTATGAGTCACCATGGAACGAAAGCAGGTCACGGGGCCCTGAGCTCACACCCCCTAGAGACGATAGGCAGGAAGCACCACAGTCACCCAGAACCTTCAGCAGCGAGCGATTAAGTAGTCGAACAGGGTTCAAGACAAAAAGCAACTAGGTCGAACAGCGTGTAAGTTAAAAGCTCAACTCATATTCACTACCCTCTACAAGTACTGTAGTTGTCAAACCACCAGATGAAAAGTTCGATTTGTGAGACTGTACACTTCATACATGAGACGTTGACTTTGTTCCAGGTGCTGCGTGTGCTGCTTTGTGCGGAAAAGAGGCTGCTCCAATTCGGCCTTGTCACTTCGGAGTCGACGTTGCAATCGTGAGAGAACGGACGGGGTCATTGCAAGGTACACTGTTAAAATCATTCAACCAATTAGCATATCCAACAGAGATCGTTTGCGTCTCAGGTGCTTGCCTGCGAGATCTTCATACTCCTTGACGCTGAACGTGATCACTTCCTCCATTCCTAGATTTCTTAGCAGTGAGACGCCCACACGGCTAGACGAATAAATCAATAACACGAAAGTGTTTGGATGAGAAGATGTACTGTACCTTGCGAAGGAGTCGCCTGCTAGGGTGATAACTGGGAGTCCTGCGTAAAGTGCGTCGGTCGCAGTCGAATGCGCCCCATACTGCGTAGTATAAGTGTTATCTTGTTATTCTAGTGGAAACGATCAAGCACCGCCCAACTTACAATAAATGTATCGAGGAAAAGGCCTCCGACGTGGTGGCGTAGAAGATGTTCGGCCTTTGGAATCCTGCACGTATCAGCAAAATGCTTAGAAGATCCATGCTGCAGCTATGAGCATTTAATTTTGTCTTTTACCTGGACACAAATCGGACTCTTCCTCTTGAGATTCCTTGGGCCTGTGCCTCCTTCCATAAGTTTTTCTTGATTTCACGACTCGTAACGGATTCGGTGACATCATCTCCCAGCTCATTTCTCCCCGGGTCCAGCAGTAATAGAGAGCTCCGAGGCACACGTCGTAAAGTGGACATCCACGTGCTGAATAACGACGCCTTTAGCTTGTCGATCTTGTTGAAATTCACAAACACAAACCCCTCGTCTCCGCCTTCATGTTTCGCAATATCCCACAAATCGGAACGCCGTGAAATCGTTTCGGATGAAGCGAGAATTTGGTCGTAGTAGTTGACTTGGTAGCAGTTGGGAAGTATCACAAGCTTCTCGGTGAATGCAGTTGCCAGCTCAGCAGGCGGCACCACGTACTTGTCCACGATCACGTAGTCCACAAACGGCGCACCTGAAGTTCCAGGATACACGAGATAATTGACCACAATCGGAGCAGGTCGCGCTGCAGCGATTTGCATGCGACCTCCTCGAGTGTGACCTTGTGCATCCATAAGAATGTGGATATGCTCGGCACGAATCATCTTGGCACTCTCCTCAAAAGAAGCCGTGGATAGGTCAAAGAACCGATCGACCTTGTCGATGACTCTCTGGCGAACTGCACTACCATCGTCTCGCCCATACCCGAAAGCTACCGTCTTAATCGAGCCCCGCTCTCTGGTTGCGAAAATACCTTCCATTAGATGCGTCGTCGGATGATCCGAGAAATCGTACGATAAATATCCCACATTGAGACTGGTCAGCTGCTTACTCTGCCTGCCTTCGTGTAGCTTTACTGGGAAAGCAACCTCTTTGCTTCTAGCTTCAACTTCACCAGTTGTGAACTTTGTTGAGAAACGCACTGCTACCGACCTTCTGTCTAGTGGTGACATAGCGTGCAGCAAAGAATCAAATGGTGTGAAGGCATAGCGAGCATCTGTAGCTGTCTGCAGGGTAGTAACCATCGTCCAGAGAAGTGAAAATTCGTCTTCTGCATTTGCCCACACGCAGGCACTAAGCTTGGCCCGAACAATGTGTACCATGAGATGCATAAAGGACATCTGAGCTGTTAAGCCATCCGGGTAAACGGTGTCAGGAGAAGAAACTATTTCGTGTAAAGCGCGCTCGTACCAACTCAAAGCGCTCACGATATCTTTCGTAAGTTCGTAGGCCACACCAACATTGCCCATTGCCATATTTTTCAGTTGTGCTGATGCTGAAGGTGAAATGATCACATTCTGCGCAAGATAGTTAGTATACATAGCTAAAATGCCACCAAAGTAGCCGCTAACGATCGTACCAAATAGTGCGGGATCGACTCGTTCACATCGCCGTGTTGATGGTGGAGTGCAGCAAGGTTAATCCTCGCTTCACCCTGAGTGGGGTCGATCGCGAGAGCGTCATTGAAGGCATCCGCAGCCTCCAAAATCTGACAATTCATAAAACCCTAGTTAGTCCTTGTCCCAGCTAAGCATTTAACAGCTTAGTCAGCGGCATACCTTGCCCAATCTATTCAGAGTGACTCCATAATCTAAGTAAAAAGCCGCCGAGCGTCCACCCTCGCCCACGCGTTTGAAAAAAATCTCTGCCGTCGTAAAATCTCTTCCATGGTGATACGCCAGTGCTACTCCATGCATCAACGTATCCAGCTGTGCAGTATTCGTCGGGTCGATCTCTCGCTCTGCAGCGAGAAGAAATTCCAGAGCTTTAGGGATTTCTCGCATATCCGTGTAGACCTCGCCAATCCGCTGCAACAGCATAAAATCTCGTGGCTCTGCGGCCAAAAGGGCATTAAGAATGTCCAACGCTTTGTCGTATTCCTTTTGTCTGTGGTAAACTGATGCAATGCCCACTTGAGCTTGTCGATCTCCAGGCTGCTGCCTCTCGATATGCTCTAAGATACCAATGACCGAGTCCAAGTCGTTGGACCGCCATAATTGATACGCAGTTTTCCATAGTTCATCAGTAGTCGTTGGGTCTGCACTGAGCAACCTGACGCTCAAGAAAAGCAGTGTAGCGACGTAGTGGCGGATTGGCACGGAGCTGAGGTGGTGCATCGTATCTTAAACACGATCTTTCATGATCCGAAATAAGTGGTGCTTGATCTTCGTAAAGTAATTTTTTTAACCAATTGTATCCTACCGAAACGACACTTGGCAAACATGGTCCAACCAAGCTCGACTCGACATCTTTAGCTGATGTCTTGCAGGATGCAAAGAAGGATGTCAATGCGATCGAACTAAATTTGCGTCGATCTGGATTAACCCCCAGTCTGGCGGTGCAAATCGCCGATTTCTTAGAGACCAACTCGACTCTCACACACGTGGATCTGACCGGGAACCGACTGGGCGAGCATGGAGCGGGTTGTCTAGCCTCGTCGTTGATGAAAAATAGTTCTGTCAGGACTTTGGTGCTGGACGACTGTGGGTTAACGAGTGAGGCGTTGAAAGAATGGGTCGTCTTCTTCCAATCCGGCACCAATACGACACTGCGTCATCTCAGTCTGGCAGGTAACCAGATCGGTGACGATGGAGCTGAAGCTCTCGGGGCAATGCTACAAGCGGCTACGACGCAGAATATGCACTTCGATCTGCGCGGCAATAATCTCTCGACGCAGGGACTACACATTCTGTCAGATGCCATGAAGAATGCTTGTCCCACCTCAGTCACTACTGTCCAGGTGGCAGACAACCAGGATGACGACGAACCTGAGGCCGAAATGTACAGGTCGAGGCTGGATTTCTATCTGCGCAAGAACAAGGCTGCAATCGAGAGAGAAACGCTTCGCGAGACCATTAAAAAGATTGAACTGTCATCATTGGAGCTGGTGGCCTGTCATTTCAAGCACATTGTGTTGACGATTGCCGAGGCGGATTCTCTCGGTGCTGCCCTGCAGAGCAATCACTCTGTCGTGAAATTGAGACTAGAAGATAACGCGCTACCCGAAGAAGGCGCTCGACGTATTCTACGTGCACTTCGCACTAATCGCAGTGTACGCACGTTGGCTTTGGTCGACAACAATATAGGCGACGGTGGATTTCGTGAACTGAGTGAACTCCTTCGAGTATCGACTTCAGGTCTTAGAGCTGTTATCATTGCCAATCCAACACAATTAACCCCTAAAAATGGGTTAAACGTCATCGGTCCACGCACAGGAAGTGATCTTCATTACACCTTCGCTCACTACGCTCTACTGACGTCACTGTCGCTTGCAAATTGTGGCCTGGACGACCTCATGGTGAGTGTCTTGGTCTCTGGTATCGCCTGGGGTGGGCGTATCGAAGCTCTTGATCTGCAGCGCAACAGCTTCGGTGACCGCAGTGTTCACGTTCTGGCTCGCATGCTGCAACGCTGCCTGTGTTTGTACCGGCTAGATCTGGTACGTCCTTGTTTTCTGGCGAGCAAATCGCTTCACGCTGACGTTGTTCCTATTCTGTTTTGCTAGTCCGGCAACAAACTTACTCTTGATGGTTTGTTGCCACTGCTTCTGCGCACCCGCAGCTTCGTATGCTGCTGCTGGGTCGCTTTCTTAGCTGCGAGCAGCACACGATGGATCAAATTATCGATGCAGCAGAGCAAAGTCGCACGCTCGTTCAGTTGGAGCTGATAACGACGCACCGTCGTTCGAGTACAAGCGAGTGCATTGCTAGTCTCAACACGCGCCTGCGTGCAGCTCGCGGTGTTGACTTCGAACAAGGGAAGCAACAGCGTAAAGAACAGGTGAAGAAGCATGAAAAGTGGTGCCGTCAACGCGCACTTGTGCACCAAGAGGCAGTAACATTGGTCCGTCAACTTGCACGACACACGATGGAATAGGAAACACGGCTTATTAATAATAGCTCGTTGTAGCGACCATCGGCTTGTCCATCGCAAGAATAACGTCAGGGCATTGTACCACGATAGTCTTTTACCCGAGTCGGGTAACCCGACACAGCTCAGTGAGCTGAGCTCACCCAGCAATCTGAGCTCGAGGGGTGCTGTTGCCCGACTGATGTGGGGTGCTCGTAGTCGATGGCACGCGCCCGGCAACTTCAACTCGCTCGAGCCACAGTCTACCCACGAAAATGATCGTTTTTCCACTTTTAACACCCTGTAAGATTCAATACTCATCCCAGATGCCTCTACGCACGAGCTTTACTTCACTAAAACATTCTGAGTTTCATACAAATAATCTTGGGAAAACCTTGGTTATTTTGACTCCCACGATCTTTTCCGATGAAAAACCTCTCGAAACTTGCGTTTGTGCCACAATGCAAAACCACCTTCAAACTTTGAAAGAGAGCCACGTACGCAGCTAAGGTGGGGCCAGCAATCGTTGCCCCTTTCAGTCTCCAATCACGTCAGACACTCACTGCACGAATTCCTCGAGCGACATGCTCTCCGCCGCCGTAACTCGTTCCACCCGCATGACGGTTAAGGCCGTGCGCGCTGCCAGCTCCTTCCGTGTCGAGACGGACTCGATCGGAGAGGTCATGGTGGACGACACCAAGTACTGGGGCGCGCAGACGCAGCGCAGTCTCGAGAACTTCCCCATCGGCGGCGCTCGCGAGCGCATGCCTCTGCCTGTAATCAAGGCCTTTGGCGTCGTTAAGAAGTGCGCCGCCAAGTACAACCTTAAGCAGGGCAAATTGGACGCCGCTGTGGCCGACAAGATCATTGCCGCGGCCGATGATGTCATTGCCGGCAAACTGGACGACCACTTCCCTCTTGTGGTTTTCCAGACGGGCTCAGGCACTCAGTCCAACATGAACACGAACGAGGTCATCAGCAACCGCGCCATTGAACTGGCTGGCGGTGAACTGGGCAGCAAGTCACCTGTGCACCCGAACGACCACGTTAACATGGGCCAGTCGTCCAACGACTCGTTCCCTACGGCCATGCACATCGCCGCTGTGCAGGAGATCCACCGAGTGCTGCTTCCTGGTCTCCACAAACTGCACGACGCTCTGGACGCTAAGGTCAAGGAGTTCGACGACATTATTAAGATCGGACGCACCCACACGCAGGACGCCACGCCTCTGACTCTGGGACAGGAATTCTCCGGTTACCGTGAGCAGATCGCGCTCTCTATTGAGCGTGTGGAGCGTGTCCTGCCCAACCTGTGCAAGCTCGCTCTCGGTGGAACTGCTGTGGGCACGGGACTCAACACGTCCAAGGGCTACGACGCTGAGATCGCCAAGATCATCGCCGAGGAGACCAAACTCCCGTTCATCACGGCTCCCAACAAGTTCGAGGCTCTGGCGGCCCACGACGCTGTGGTGGAGGCCAGTGGCGCCATGAACACAATCGCCTGCTCGCTCATGAAGATCGCTAACGACATCCGTTTCCTCGGCTCGGGTCCGCGTAGTGGCCTGGGTGAGCTTACGCTGCCTGCCAACGAGCCTGGCTCGTCTATTATGCCTGGCAAGGTGAACCCCACGCAGTGTGAGGCCATCACGATGGTCTGCGCGCAGGTTATGGGCAACCACGTGGCTGTGACCGTGGGCGGCTCCAACGGCCACTTCGAACTTAACGTGTTCAAGCCCGTGATGATCAGCAACTTGCTGTCCTCGATCCGCCTCATCGGCGACAGCTGCAACGCCTTCACGGACAACTGCGTTGTGGGCATTGAGGCCAACCGTGAGAAGATCGACCAGCTCATGAAGAACTCGCTCATGCTCGTGACGGCGCTGAACCCGCACATTGGCTACGACAAGGCCTCCAAGGTGGCCAAGACGGCGCACCAGGACGGCGCTACGCTGCGTGAGACTGTCATCAAGCTCGGATACCTCACGGGCGAAGAGTTCGACCGCTTTGTGCGCCCCGAGGACATGATTGGCCCCAACTAAGCTTCTACAGTACTCTTAAAACGGTCACTAAGCGCTGCAGAGGACAGAGTTGTGTCCGCTATGCGTCGTTGCATGCAGATCAACCTGGTTCGGAGTTGTGCAAGTAAAAAAACACACAAAATAAAACAAGTGATCGCTCTATGGAATGGTTCAATCAACAGGAAATGTGACGAGACTCAAAGCTCAGTACGTTGCGCTTCCGGTGTTGCCATTGCAGCGACTGTCGGTACTGACAGCGTTCGTCTCCGGTCGTCGGAGCTCTGCATCTCATAAATAGCGGCTTGGAAAGGCAAGTACAGAGCGTTCTGAAAAGCAAATGGCACACAAAAGTTATGCAATCAGAAAGTGTCTACGCAGCTTCATTGTTTAGCATTTGACTCACCAACTGCCTCTCCGCCGTTCCTAAGTCCTTGGACAGCTCCACGGACTGTCGATTAAGCTTGGCCAGCACTTGATTGAACTGGCAGCAACGAGATTTGGGAAGGTGACAATGTCAATAATTCGCATTCTACCCGCTGTGTGCTCCAACTATTTGGCATTATCACCTTTTGCATTGCAGTAGACACGTCGGCCATAGCCTCCAGCAGGCGCAGCTCCTCTTCCGCCACGTCCTCGTCCTCCGTCCAGCGCTCACCAGCGTCCATTATTGCAAAAATTGTCAACTGAACCTTCCCGCGAAAATACCAATCAGTTGCAAAAATCGAAAGATGATTGTCATTTTTACTTTTCCACCCTTCTCATTGGTCGAAACCTTTTAGAAAAATAATCAGATGCTTTTCATCCACAAAAAAATCTGGAAGGATCATTTCCACAAGACCTGGCGAGTGTCAATCCCGTACGTCGGCCATGTGGATGCAGAACTCGGCGGCAGGCGGCAACTTCCACGACCGCAACCGCTTCGGATCGCAGTACGCCCAAAGCTCGTACAGTGGCGGGTCATCGCATGACGCGGGCGCTAACGCTGGCGACTGGAAGAGCAAGATCCTCGAGAGCGGCCAATGGCTCGGCGGTAAAGTCATCGAGTACGGCGGGAAACTCGCCCGCGGACCCAATACGGACTCCATCCCGGACCAGTACGCGCATGAAATGCCACGGAATGATGGTCGTGCCAATTGGATGGCAGATATCCGCAGTTCCTCGTCGTCGTACTCTGGAGGCGGCTCTGGAGGGTACGGAGGGGGGTACCAGAACGACTTTGCCACAGAGAGACCCAAGGCGTACTCGGATTACAACAAGGGGTACTCGGGTAACCCATCGGGTGGTTATGAATCTAAGAGCTTAACCTCCACTGACCATCACAAGCACCGGCACGTTAAGAAGAAGAGCGAGAGCAAGAAGAGCAAGAAAAGCAGCAAGAAGAGCAAGAAAAAACCACAAAGCGAGAGTGAAAGTCTGTCGGAGAGTGAGAGCGAGGAGCTGTCCATTTCTGAGTCCTCGGAGACTGAATCAGCGGACGAACGACGTCACAAGAGCAAGAGTAAGAAAAAATCCAAGACCAAAAAGCACAATGGATTTTACTCGAGTGAGAGCGAAGACGACGTTGGTAAGAGGAAAGCGTCAGCGGATTATTCGTTCTCTTTCGACCCAGCCAAGCTGCCTCCTGCACCTGTAGAGGAAAAGAAGGAAACGACCAAGAAATCCAAGAGCAAGAAGAGCAAGAAGGAAAAATCTGGAAAGAAGTCGCGTACCCGTCGCCGATCTGTCGTATCCACTGACGAGGAATCTGGATCGGAGAAGGAACACAGCCGTGCTAAGGCAAAGAAACGCGGCAGCAAGAAGACTGCTGCCAGTCCTGCCAGTGTGGACTTGCTGGGAGTGGATCTGGATACTCAGCCAGTGGCACAACCCGCGGCAGCTGTCCAGGAGACGCAGCCGTCGATCTTCGACACGCCACAGAGCCAGAATCCTCTGCAAGATCTTGCCGGCTTGAGCTTTGTCGCTCCTGTTCGTTCTCCTGCGCCAGTGCTTGATCACAGCGTTGCTGCTTCAGCTTCCAGTGATGCGCAATTGCAGGTTCAGCCTCAGCAAACAGAAGCCTTCCGAACGAACCTCTTGCCGGAGAATAACATCGTGGACTTTAGCTCTCTAGCGAGGGAGAAGAAGAAGTCGCTGTCTGCCAACCCAGAGGAGAAGCGGACGCTGAACGACCTGCAGAAAGCTCGAGGCGCCGACCAGCCGACGCCTGTGATGGCCATGCCGATGCAGAATCCGCAGATGCAACAGCAACATAACATGCTGCAATTGAGTATGAACATGAACCAGCTGCAACTCACGGACGGCACCATGCAACAGCAACTGTACCCGAACATGCAGATGCAACAGATGCAGGGAATGACTCACCCGCAGATGATGATGATGCAGCCACAAATGGCCATGATGGCGCAGCCTCAGATGATGAACATACAGATGATGCAACAGCAGCAGCTCACCCAAGGCAATAACACACCCACGGTGCAGTCCACCGGAGCGCAACAGACGAATGGCAACTCCAACAGCTTGGATCCATTCAACCAGATCCCGTAAATAGGGCAACATGGTGTGGGATTACGCCCAGGTTCGCTAGAGTGTCGTGGCGTTCGTAGTTTTACAATCTTAACATGTTTGATTCTTTTTTAGTTATCTCTGCCTTAGCTACAGTGAAACGCGATGTCTGGAGGTTTTCAGATCGTTCGAGCAATTGCGGCAAGAACTTCATCAAGTCTCCAGTTTTTTTTATCTGTCGACGTCTCAAGGTAGTCCCCAAGTGCCATGGCGCATTAGTAGTAACAGCAGCGGTAGTCGGTCAAACGACGCTACTTATCCGATATGTAGTGACGGAGCACCACGCCACGTAGGGGGCCTTCCTCGAGAACACTCTCCAAATGATTTGTGTGTGTGTTTTTTTCTCTTTCTGACGAAAGAAAGCACAGCAGATATCGAGTGCATTTCGGCCACAAGAAATTACTACTACATGTATCTACTGTACTGTCGTACGTTTGGCTGAGGAATGTCTGGAGCGTTTCAAGGCTTAAGCGTTTTGCTTCGAACTCAACTAATACGATTTCATTTTCTGCCGACGTCTCAAGGCGCTTCTCTCGTGCTTGGCTTGCCTCAAATAGCGCAGCGCCACCGACGCCCCTCGCTGTGAGGCTCCGTCGCGAACGGAGCACCACGTCACGTGGAGAAGCCTCCACAAGAACTCTCCACCCGATTTAAATCGCGCCATTCCGTCCATGGGACAGACAGCGCAGCAGGTTTTAAGTGTGCTTTAACTATCTTCAGTAGTCGTGCACATGTAGTACGCAGAACATGATGGGAATATCTGGAATGTGTCACGGTCAATGCAAATTACTGCAAGGACTCCACTTATAATTCCAGGAATTCACTTTCTGCCGATGCGCTCGGTTCCAGGTTCATCCAGACAGATAAACACCATCACCACGAATGGAAGGTTCCTCAAGAGAACTCTCCACCCGATTGAATGTTACCATCCTTTTCTCAAAAAAAAAGAAGGCACGACAGGTATTTAAGCGCACATCGTCGACTAGGACAGTGTAACTAGCTACTACGTATCATTCTCTTAAACATTTAACTGAGAAATGTCAGGAGCGTTTCATGGTCCAAGCAAATTGCAGCAAGAACTCCACACAATATCTCCAGGGGTTCACTTTCTGCCAACAAAATCCGAGGCGCCAGCTTCGACACATAAGATTTTCACCAGGCGCCGCTTTTCAGCAACCCCAGTCCTCCCATGCGCCGGGCCAAACTTTCCCCGGTGGAGCTCGACACCCAACCAATGCAGCTTCAGAGAAGGCAAAAACTCTCCAGAGAAGGCGCCTGAGGCATCGATTTCCAGTCGGCAACGTTTAGAAGTCCTTTCTTTCTTTATTTAAACCAACTTCCTCCCTACTTGAGAAAATTTGCAACTGACGTGGCATCGGGTCTGTCGGGATCTGCTCGGCGACTCCTGGCCATTCATTTTAAATCAGTTTTGAAAAGGCATCTCAAAATCATGCTACGAGCTGTTTTAGAAGGTTATTTAGTTTGAGGCCTTCCGGGACGACCTTCGTCGCGCCGCTGCTGACTTTGACCATGAAATTACACAACAAGCAGGAACACTTTTTAGTAATCTGACAATACCATACTAACACGGCCTTGCGAGCATCACGCGATAGATAGTGGGTCTTCACCGCAGTAAGCTTAATTAAGTTTATTCAGTTCGCTCGTGTTAATACATGAACTTCTCAAAAAATCGTCTCTATCACAACGACGAAGAATCGGCCAAAAAAAGTCAGAATTATTAATAGTATTTGCACTTGTGTACGTCTTCCAATCAGAATCTGCAAGATCTTTGGCTCCACAATTCAGCGACGGAAAACCTCGTCATGTCGGTAACTTCTCTCGAGAATCTCCCTTCACTCGACCATTCTTCCAACACAACAAGATCAAAACAGACCAGCTTCGGCTATACATGTAATACACGTATAAATCATAATACCTTGTCCATTGCATGGGAAATGTCTAGAGGATATGATGACCCAAGCAAATGGCAGCAAGAACCTTAACGCAATATCTCCAGGGCTCACTTTAAGCCGAGAAGAGCCAAGATGTTAGCTTCGATACCTAGGATTTAGACAAGGTACCGCTTTTCGGCAGCTCCCTGTCCACCCAGGCAGAGACCAACAATCCCCGGCAGAACTCGATACCCGATCCTGGGGAGAAGAGAATGGCTTCAACGGGGCTCAGCATCCAGTTCCCACATAAACCAAATCTTGCACTTGCTCAGTACTTGTTTTAATAGATTCGAGATCTACTTGACTTTAGCTGTTTTATAGAGGTCCCCTAATATAAAGATACGAATTGTTATTGGCGGGCATTAGGTTTCCAGGCTTCTCCAGTACTTAAGAACATGATTTGCACGACACCGAGTTTGAAAGGGGATCTTGAAGACATGGCTACATGCCAACTTCAACGTTGTGGAGTAACGTCTGCGTGTGCAGGTACGAATTGTACAGCGCACTTTCGTCGTCTGCCTCAACACAGGCGACGTAGAGCTCACGGAGGAACGCCGCGTATTGAGCTTCGTCGCTCTGTTTCATCAGTTCACTGATGAGTTTGGCCATGAACCTGCGCAACAAAAACCAGACACACTTCAGCACTTCTCCTGCAACCAGACAACACGAAACCTTACACTGCAATGCGAGTATCACACGTTTGCAGGAATGGCGTCAAGGCTGTCAATCCTCCAACGTTGTCGACTGCAACGTTGTTGTCCGTAAAGATGCTACAGACAACCAGCGCTGTGCACGCTGCAACGTCCCCAACCAAGGAATCGTCCACTCCACAGCAGATACGACGGCATTCAAACCCTTGATGGGTATCAGATCGTTCATGCAGTACCGTCAAAACATGCAGGAGAAACTCGGCGTCCATCTGCCTCAGCAGTTTTTTATCCAATGCTACGTCTCCATTCAGCACTCGAGACGCCAACGAGTCCGACCAGGCAACGCAGTCAGCCACTTCTTCCTCTCCTTGCTCGTTAGAGGAGGTTCTAGCATCTCTCTGCTTCCAGCGCTTGTCAACGTACGACAACTCGCACTGACAAACCTCCAAGATCAACAGCATCACTGGAAGTAGCACAGCAGGTTCACGCTCTTTGTGGTCAAGAAGAACACCCACACACGTGTTGATCTCTTCCATTATCGACGCGTCTGGCTTCCCCGACTGCATCGACACCTCAGAATAGTTAGCCATCGCTTTCATTACCAGCTCAAATACCGATCATACTCACACTGAGCTGCAGTTTCCGTCGTATAAACAGCGCCAGCACCCTGGTAAATGATACACGGCGTTCTACCGCGTTTGTCGGTGACGCCAATTGCCAGAACTTGGCCTGAGCAGCCAGACTGATCTCTCCTCCTTCGTCGTAACAGAACGTCTCTTCAAGTTCCTCTCCAACCGGGTTGTTGACAGCCTTCGGTCGAGCCAAAAGCACTTCATGCTGCTTTCCAACTGACCCTACCGCCGTCGTCGCTTTGCTATCATACGATGAGAACCCGTCGTCATCCTGGTCATAACTCAGCAGTTCGGCAAGCCACCGCTCGCCTCGGAAGCGCTCCACTGCTCGGTTCGACAGCAGCAGCTTCAAAACTTGATCTATGATCTCTTCTGATACGTTTCCACCGCTCTGGTTCTTGGCCGCTTTGACGGCTTTATCCAGACCGGGATTCACTCCAAAGTACGCGTCAACCTGAACTACCAAGCGGAACTGGTTGACGAACACGTTCAATTGCTTCTCCGACGCCAACGAACAGCTCGGCAACAACTGCTTTACCACCCGAGAGCTCGAAATGTACGGGGACAACAGAGTCTGCTTCATACCCTCAGGGGGATCCTCCCAGTCCACAAAAGATCTCCAGATTTGATCAAGTCCGGCATTGCTGATGCCTTCACGGCTTCCAGTACGTCGAAGCTGCTCGCAGACTAGATCCACAAGAACCATGCACGCTAATCGCTGCAGTCGAGCAATTGGGGAAGTGTAAAAGTGATAAAGTAGCAGCTCCAGACTCACGTACTGCTCAACAGCTGCCACTGGCAGTCCGCAGTTCCACACGACGTGATCTTTGGTCTCCAACTGGCCAGTGACTTTGAGTGCGTACATCGTCGCTACAACCAGCTCCATCGCCTTCAGTTGAAGCTCCGAGCCAATCGTATCGCGGTTGCTAGCCTCCGCCACTAGAAACAAAAGTGTGTGCTCATCCAGAGACCTCAAGTGATCGGAAGAATAATTGCCGTTCGCTTTCTTGACGAAGAACTCCACGCATCCAACCGCTTGGTCGACCCAGTCAACTTCAAAATCAAATTTGACAATAGACTCGGAGGCTACTGACGTTGATACCACCACCGCCTTAGCTAACATTTCTCGTAGCAACTTGAACAAGTTCACCTCCAATTGTTGCGCTCGAGTCGTCAGCGAGGCCTGCTGTGTCGATAATATCGCTGTAAGTGAAGCAACACTTGTGTTCAAGAACAATGTGAGCGCTAGACGTCGCCACTGCGGTGACGGAAGAACTGCCAGTTCCAGCAGTTTAACTCTCACTCCTGATGCGTCTAAATCTCCACCTTCACTGGTAAGACACGCTTGAGCCAGCACATTCACTGTAGCTTGAGTGAGTACAGCTGCGTACTCTTGTTCCCGTAAGGTTAGCAGACTTTTGTCGTACACATCATGAAGGTCTCGGAAAATCTCGTCCAGCTCATCCCATGCCGGGTACTGCGTCATTTGGCTATTCAGACGCGGTGGCTTGGATAATTCAGCCACTGAGGGATGATTGGGATGTAGAGCGCGCTCCGTAGCGTCCAGTTCTCGACTCAACTCATAAAGATTGGTCACAGCAAGAGTCTGGAGTTCGCTCCCGACTCGCCGACTTTTGGAAGATAAAGAGTGAGTATTTGTTGGACAAGTGGCCCCATGAGAGCGTCGAAAGAGACGAGAGAGCAGGTCGTCCGAATCTTCCTCATGTAGAACCATCTTAATCTCGCAGCGTTATTGAGAAGTCGGCCAACTGAAGATCAAAAGTCTATAAACGACAAAACTGGTTACCGTCGTTTCAGACGCGCAAAAAATTGCAATGGACACGGAAGCCACTCCGTTCATCTCTGCGCGCGAGTGTGACGCATTGAACGATGAAAACGTGACACCACTACCAGCGTCGCAGCCGCATGTCGTATTCGTAAGTTTATCTTTTCAGGAAATTACTCTATTTGACAAGAGCTGATTATTTGTGTGTTTTATTATTTGCAGCGACTTCGACGAGAAGACGAAAAAGTGCCGTGGATTGTCGAGTTGGTCTTCTTGCTTTTCAACGCGCAGGTAGGTAGGTCAGCCTTCGCTTGGGGTTCAATATGCGGTGCGTTCGAGATGTACTAAGCGCCTATTGTGTTTTTTTAGGGCGACATCTTGCAGGTCGCCCGTGGGGCCAACACTCCAGACACTTCAACAACCGGTCACCGCACAGCTGGTAGCCATGCTGTTGCGTATTTTGGCGAAGAAAACTTCCGAGCCACACGAGCCAAGTTGAAAGAGACCGACGAGCGGGAAGTCGTTCGGTTTTCCATGACCAAAGTGCATCCATTCGTCGAAGTCGTGGGCTGTCTAGTCACGTATGCGGAGGACGAAATCGCTCGCTCTCCCCAACTCAACGCGTTCTCACTCACGTGCGATCTCCACGCTCTTGACAGCTCTCAGGCCGAAGCAGAAGCGCAAGCGCTCGCCGCTGGTGGCAAGAGATTCGTGTTCAATGACAGTGGAGAACACACGCGTTTATTGAATATTTATCACGACCCGAAGACATTAAGAAGACACATTGGCAAACAGACGAACGTGGTGATATTGTGCAAACTCTTTCGACGTCACGGAAAACACCACGACTGGGCTTTCCATGCAGCTACAGAGGATCGAAGCAACGTGGTCGTACGGAGCGCTGTGACAGCGTCTCTGGTTGAAACCATGCAGATTTTCCTGCTAGATCTCATGCCGGATATCAAAATCCCGAATCGCAACCCGCTGTCAAGTGTTGCCGGGATCTGTGCAGCTCTCACTTGCAACGAGTTTCTGGGTATTGAGCGTCACTTTCCCAAAGCAGGACTGTCCAAAGTGGATTTTACTCGCTTGTTACTGTGGGAATTGATGCGCGCTCGACCGAGTTTGATGCGGCATCTAAATCGCGCTTCTGCTCTTATTGGACTGTTGTTCGAGATGTTTGAGCAGATCGACATTAACGGCGATTCCGTCGTGGATTGGGACGAATTCACGTCGTTTTGTATCGCGTTGGGACTTGTGGCCACTCGAGTTCCTCATGACGAGAACGATCACGATCAAGGACAAAGTCATGGAGATAACCACGACGCTCCACCTCGAAACATGATAGTGTATCGCCATGAACCTCTGAGTAGTGGAACTGCAACTCGGTAAGTTATTTATTTTATCTTACTTTACTTTTGCCAACAAACAACTTATTGTACACCACAGGACTTTTCCTTATCAGATCAACAAGCTTAAAAACTTCCCGCAACTCAAACGCCTTGCAGTAATCGAACACAAAAGTCCTCGAATCCTCGTACGTGAGAATGTTAACATTTATTTCTTTTTTTTCTTACATTTTTTTTTTCATGAATTCAAGTTTTTCGATCTGGATATGAGTTTCCTCCACGAACTCAATTGCAGTGAGAAACTCGCAGCCGAGAAGAAAGCAGGAGAGAAACAGCAAGACGTATTAGACTCGTTGGAAGTTCTGGACGCAGAGCATATTCCATCTCGAAATGCTCTAGCGGTGGCAAGCAGCGACTTGTGCATTTCATTGTGGTCCATTATCGACGCTACTGTGGGCTCGTACGTCTTCAATGGGAAACTGGCGGGACGTTTCCCCGCTCTGTTCGTCAAGTGGTGTCCTCCTCCTCTCAAGCGATTGTTCGTTGCTGGGGGTTCGACAGATCACGTTCAGCTCTGGGACTTGGAAGTGCCCATGCACGCTGGAGCTGCTCCGCCGCCTCCGCCGATGCTGCTGCCTCGCAGTCACACGGAGCGGATTGCCGCTTGCTTAGATCTACCGGAGACTCCGTACGTCGCGACGGCCTCTTTTGACCACACGATCACGATCTGGGAGACTGTGGCAGGAGCCAATTCCGCTCTGGGGGGCCCATCTGCTGTGCTTACAGTCTCGTTCGTGCTTCGAGGACATCAGCAAGCCGTTTTGACACTGGACTCGGCTTATAATCTCTTGCTAAGCTCAGGATTCGAGTACCAAGCGTACTGTTGGGGGATTTCGGGACGAGTTCTAAAGACTAAGCTAGGAGGTCATCACCATTGCCTAATGGGGGCCAAGTTTGTGTCCACCTCTGCATCTGGACCTTGTCTTGTAGTCACGGGTGATCAAAGTGGACATTTCAAGCTCTGGGATATCACTCGATGCGCCAAAGGATTGTCGGGGAACCACTTGTCGATCATGTTGCAGACTTTTGAGCTTCACACGCCGAATCTCTGTCGCTTCCGGATGTTTATGACGTCGTCAAGTGGAGCTACTGGACTGGAATCGCAGCATGACGAGCCGGGAGCTGAATCGACTGAGAGTCCGGCGTGCGATATCGTAACGGGAAATCTGCGTCTCTATCGCTTCAGTGCGTTCACCCAGTCGGTGGGATCTCAGGACGACGCAGCAGTCGACGAATCGGCGGGTTCAGCTCCCACGAGGTTCATCGTGTTCAATGCCGTGGCCAACACTTTCGTTGGTGCAGTTGAGAATCGTATTACGGTGTGGAATGCAAATTCTGGCGCGAAAATTGAGGAACCAGTGACAATCCGAGACGCCGAAGTCTGCGCGATCACCTTCGATAGTCCTCGCGAAAGAAAACTTTTCGTGGCGACCAACGTACGTTGAGAGAGTTGCTAACCTAACGAGTGTTGCGTGCAACTAACTCTGCGAAAACTATGGCCTCAGGATGGTGCAATTCGGCTTTACAACCCTGTGACTGGAGCTCTACTGCAGGTAGGATATCTCCATTCTTACGCCGCACCACTTTTATAATTTGTACCTGAAACATGCGGCTAGAAACTGGTAGTGCACGACGGCACTGTTACCTCTCTTGTGTTCTGCTCGCATGCCAATGTACGTGACCGTCATTTATTAAGGAAAACCGAGCTTTTGATCGTCATTAGTGGTATAATTCTTGCTCTAGTGCTTGATTTCGACTGGAGACGATCGTATGGTCTGCGTAGTGGACTCGCCACCTGGAAAGTTGAAACTGGAAGTGATCCACTACGTGGAAAAGGCTCACAACTCCAGTATCACGTGTTGCGCTTGCTCACCGCCACCAGCGACCGAGACACACACGTCGAGGTTCATTGCCACAGCGGACGATGCTGGCGGAGTGCAAGTGCACGACCTTCACCACATCACGTTCCAGTTCCGCTGTGCTACCGTCCACACTCGAGAGATCCGAGCTCTGCATTTCCCAGCTGCCACACCGGGTTTCCTCGTCTCGGGTGATGTCAGTGGTGTCATCTTCGTTTGGCCAACAATTGGAGTTCGAACTTCGATCGCGCAACCTCTTATGAGGCTCAAGATGCAAGAAATCACACCGTCAAGACCTGTATCGAGCAACGTAGAGTTCGATGGGATCACAGCCATATGCTCCACTACGTCACACGACTCTCACTCCATGCTCTACGTTGGCGTCGAAACGGGGCAAATTTTTGCATGGGATCTTCATTCTCTTCCTGTGAAAACCCAGTCGGAATCTACAAGACGCTCAGCCATTCGACGTCGCTCATCTGTTTCCAAAGGTGAAATTTCAGTGTTGGAAAGTGGAGGCAAAAGTGCCCCGTTGCCGGTGATTCTGTCGATTAAGTCGTGGATGGCACACCAAGCAGGTGTTTTATCAGTGCAAAGTGTGTCTTGGCCTGGTGAGTTGCTCTCGTTGGGTGCAGACGGCATGGTTAAGATCTGGGATCGCACTGCAACTTGTGTCGGCCACATTTTAACCACAGCAGAACAGAGCTCGGTCTCCGCTTCCGCGTGGAAATTCATACGTCGCGACCAGACCCCAGGAGGCCATCAGAACGATACTTTTGAGCGAATTGCTCGTGAGGTTACTGCCAAGCACCAGCGTCGACTGAAAAAGGAGCTCAGTCGACAGCGAAAATCAGGACAGCAACCTCAAAATGAGCATACAGTTTCTGACAATTCCCTCTCAACTTCTTCGTCACTTTTAGAGCTGGACTCGCCAGCAAAATCACCACCGGGACTTCAATTTACAGGAAATGCACATTTTCCTGATGCGTCGATAGCGATGACCAACGCAGCAAACGCCCTAGTGGCACTTGTGCCGTTCTCCGTGACATCCGTGACATCGGGAGTGCATCAAGGAATTTTTGGACCGGAGGAGGCGCAACATCTCCGAGCCATTGCGAAAAACTCCAAGGCTTTACTATTAGATGCATCGGACAAACGGAAGCGTGTCGCAGCTCTTGCGCCGTTATTTGCTTCACCTGAAGAAATGATGAGAGCGCGTGCAAAAGCGAAGGCAAAAGCTCGAGCAACGATGAACAACAGTCCGCAGATTTTGGATTTTCCTTCTCGAGCGCTAACAAATTATCCGCTGGAACTCGAACGCCGCGCTGCTGCCAACGCTAAAGCTGCAGCGAGCGCTTTACGCGCTTTAGACCCAGAGCCTTCGCCATTTCTACGTGAAAAATTGCAGGATGCTGCGTCACCAATTGTGAAATCGACACCGAAAAAACGATTGCAACGTCTGATTGCAACTCCAGAAATTGACATTAAAATGAGTGCAAGTGTGGTGATACTAGCGAGGAATGTGTCATTACCGAAGCTGACGCAGCCACCCAGCCAAGATCTTGATGACCCTCCACCCACGTTGAGCACCAGTGCGTCTGCACCTGTTCTACATGTAGTTGCAACAGACCCGCCTTCAATGGAAAGTCCTGAAAAGAAAAATCGCAGTAGCAATATCGAGCGCAAGTTGAAGTTGTGTCAGAAGATCGTGGCAAATGTTTGTCTCATGAGCTCCAAGCCCAAAGTGTCCAAAGTGCGCAATGAAAAAGAAAAACCCGGTTCTCCAGCGTCAAATTTGCGTCAGCAGACTTTGACACTAGCGATAGCACAAGGAAAAAACCCTTTCGGACCACACTACACGGTGAAACAAGTTGAACAGCTCGCCATCCGACTTGCACGACTAGATGAAGACGGCTCCGGAGATCTAGATCAACACGAGTGGAAGCAGTTGGCAGAGTTTTGCGGTCTCGACAGCAACGCAACAAGTATTGACACCCTTTTCCACTCTCTCGACCGCGATTCGGATGGCACAATTAGCGTCCGTGAACTGCTTCCTTCTCTCGTAAGTGGGCAAAGTTCTTTATTTTGCATGAGTTTTGTATTTTTTGTTAAGACTTTGGTTCTCACAATTTTTTTTTGTGTTTTGCTCTGTAGTTCCGGCAGGCGTCTACCGAACAGCTCCAGCAAATGCGAGCGTTCATTCAAACCCGGATGATAGAGCTCCGTGGAGCGAGACAGTAGCGGGATGAGGAGGTTTGGGAGACTACTGCACCGCTGCCGTGGAAGCGGCAATACAATCCGGTGAATCGGCCACGAGAATGTCGATGGGAACACGGTGCAGCTCGCCATTTGCATCGTGAACCAAAACTGGCACGTCCAGGAAGCCAAACTCGAAAAAATAGGCTCGTGCACGTGCAAAAGGCGCGTGGAGGATGCCAAACTGGTCCACTTGCATTAAGAACTGGGGCTTGACGGAGTTTTGCTTCGCTTCGACGAAGGGAATGAGCTTGGAAACGGCGTCCAGCGAGCTGCCATATTCCAGCGTCTTGTGTTGCCATGTGGCACGCACTTCGCCATCGGAGAACTTCGTACCAGCGGCATATCTCAACGGGAACAGATCGTCTCGTGCATCTTTCGCTGTTGCTGCCAGTGCCTTGAGATAAACTTCCTGTTCATCTGGTGTCATCCGCGAAAGTTGCAACTTGACAAATTTTGTTGCATTTGTTGCAATTTCACTTTCCTGTTGCAAATCCGTGGCAAACCGTGAGCAAAATTTCCGCGCGAACGGCAACACTTGAGAGCGCGGCACTCGGTCGTAGAGTGACGGGAATGGATAAAGCTCCGCCAATGTGGTGACGCACGGGTGGCACTTGGTGGCTCGTGACACGAACGGCGTGCTGTCCTCGATCAACGGACTGGACAGCAAAAACTCGCGGCAAAGCGTTCCAGGTGTTAAACACTGAGGCGAATCCGACACGATGTAGATTTTGCGTACTCGACGCGCTGGCAAAAGTTGCAATTGCGCCATGGCGGCACGTTCGGCGCATGTGGCCCCTCCGATATTTGCACATTCGGCGTTCGCACCAATCACGAACTTGTCGGTTTGGCCCTTGAGATCTTCGTACGAGAAGAGCGCCAATACTCGAAAGCCCGAGAGTAACGGGGCAGTGGTGAAGTGCTGGTCACGGCGACCTTCCAGTAGCGTTAGATACTGCTCGTCTTCGGGTGTGAGGACGGCGTCGCGCATTTGTTGACGTAAAGGGGGGATTGGAGGTTTGGCGTGGGGGGTCGTGGCGAGTAGGCGCGACTTGGCAAATGCAGTAGTGACGGTGGATTTTGTGCAGGTTGCAGTGTTGGTAAGCATTGCAGTGGTGGCATGTGCCGCCGTGAATGCGAGTGGAAGTGCATAGATATGGCTGCAACTTGAAGGTGCAGACGAATAGAGCCATTCGTGCTGACGAAGCACCAAGGCATCCGCTCGATTAGAGCGATGTAGACACTTCTTTTTAGAACCTGTAGTGTCAAATTACGGAGAATGGGGAGTAGTTGCCGGACACTGACATTTGGTATATTGTACGGTGGTGAGCTACGCTGAGCCTAAAAATAGAAACAAGAGCTTCAACTCGGCAACAGCAAGCTCAAAGTTATCATAAATGGCGACGTAAACAACAAGCGGGACCAAAACGTCGTTTACGTGGTCAACGTGGATCCGGCGCGTAGCACACCAACACGGCGACGCTTTATACATTCATATCTCTGCTCTACGATTACAACATCCGTCACAGTTTGGACTCAATTCCCGTAAAAACGTCGAAGCAAACTCATTCGCGTGGATTCCAGAAATTGAATAACACACGCTTGGCTGTCAGCAGTAGCATCGGGGCTGGGGGGAGAAGTAGAGGCAGCCAGCGTTACAGCAACGGGGGCTGTGTCTGCTTCGCCGTCAAGTAAATTCACTTGCAAGTCACTCATGCAGTTTGTGAGGAAGAACGCCGCAGTAAATTGCAGTCGCAATACCAAAATTCGTAGTGGCGCTTGGTCATTTAACTGCTCCTGCAGCATGAAAAATACCTGCGAGAAGTCCACCGCATCGTACTCCAACACTACAGACCAAAAGAGCGTCAGCAGCAGACATTAGCTCGAGATTTCCCGCTTCAACGTTGTACGCTAACTCACCGATGACGTGGCGACGAAGCTCTGCAATAAAATCTTTGCGCCTCCTCCACTGTTGCAAAAACATCTAAGTACACATTTTGCAATTAGCAACAGCAAAGCGCCTCCATTGTCACTCAACACAACTGTAATTTACCTTTTTGCACGAGGCAACGAGCTCTACCGAAGATTGCGCTTTACTGGACAGCGGGGCTTGCGTCACTTGACTGGACAGCAGCATTCTAGATGGCCATTCAACAAAGAGTGGCCATACACCATCAGCGTTTCTCTCTTCATCAATAGGATATCCAATGAAAATTGTCAATCTGTCGGTTGTGGCGGAGAAATTCGGGGCATGGAAGCCGTCAGGTATGTACACTGAGTCTAGATCCTCTGCCTCAATCAAGCGTTTTGGGTCCCATTGAGGTTTTTCTCCAAGCAATGGCAACGCAAACAGCACGTAATTGCCAATCAATTCACTTCGCAGAACCAGAATCTCCAGTTCAGAATGATGTTGCAACATTTCGTACTCGAACTTCGCCCTCTGCGACGTTACAGACTGCAGCGTCTGCAACAACAAAAAGACACAGACTCATAAGCGAATGACGATTGACAGTGGCAATGCCTTCCCACTTTTCATCTGCTGACTCACCTGCACTTGCTGTTCCCGGAATGCGTCAACCAATTGCTTGACCACATCTTCCAACACTTTTGTCAACTCGTCGCCAGTCAATGTTGGCAGTTCACCGAGGTCCGCCACATTCAGATCGAGTTTTTCAACTTTTTGCAACGCTTTCAGTTCACTTCTATTTGCCACGTCAACGGCCACTTCATTTTCGTTTTGTTGCAGATACACACTCGAAGACTTGACTGCAAAAGATTGCCAAAATACACAATGACAATAGTAAATAAAACAACACTGAAACATTTTTGTTGTTGTCCATTGACAGTCTTGACGGCCATCTGTACAACCTTGGCGAAGACAAACGTCTCTGCTCGTCCAGATATCCACGCGCACTGCCAGCCATGCGTTGCGTGCGTACAGAGCCTCCACATAGCCTGCAAACAGCGGCGTCTTACGGTCTACGCTGGCTGCTGAGTCGACGCCGGTCCGAATGGCGCCAAAGGAGTCCACTGCCACGAGCTCGGCGACTCGCACGCGACGCCGGCATCGCCGCGTCAGCTCGAGTTCCATACGTCAATTGATAAGAAATCGCCACATAGATTGCTATTCCTGCAGCTCAACCATGTGTTTTAGAATCCCCCTCTCACCTGCGATTCACTTGACGTTTGTATCGAATCCAATCGCGATAGACGGGTATTGGCTACAAACGTAAATATTATCTGCGTGGAGGGGGAAAGGGGGGAGGAAAAGGAAGGAAGAAAACGCGACTGAGAGACCGCAAGGGAACCAGCGGACGGCCAGAAGCACGCAGTCGCCCAGAAGCCGTCACTCAGTTACTGGAGCCCAGTTGCTGCTCGAGTGCGTGCCCTCCTCCTCAGCGTACGTATATATACTTGCTCGCGAGCTCCTTGCTTTGCCATCTCTTTGCGCCTAGTCGGTAGGAGTCTCGCCTCCTATCCTTCGCTTTTTTTTGCCGTTTAAATAAAAGTGAAATGTCAAGACACGAAGTGGCAAGCAATAGGATAAAAAGTTGCCTATTTGCATTCTCACTTTTGTGTTGCCTTTTGCTCTTTCACAGCCTTTTGACGTGGACGACCGACCTGATTTCGCGTTTGGGTCCGCTGGGTGATTGAGTCCCCTCTATACAAGTACACTGGCGGACTAACTAAGCAATGAAGGGGATGTTGCAAACTGTGAAACGGAAGCTTAGCAACAACGGAGAGCACATCGGTGCCAACTCACCTGACCGGATGGACGTAGACGGAGCCCCCAAGGGCGCCAACGGCGTCGGCTCGCCTGTGGGCGACGTGGCGCGCTCTGACGTGTCACTTCCCAAGCGCGAACGTCGTCGCTCCTTCATGGCGCGCAACCAGAAGATTCAGGCTCTGAAAGACTTGCCACACCTGAAAGACACGTCGCTGCAGCGACGAGAGGCGCTGTTCCAGCAGAAGCTGGAGCTGTGCTCTGTCATTTTCAATTTTGACGACCCCACGTCGGACAAGCGGTACGCATGCAAAACTTGGGTTTTATCAGTGGGTTTTATTAATGTGGCAGATAACTGATAATAAATATTGTCTTATTATCAGGGGCAAGGATTTGAAGCGCCAGACGCTCCTGGAACTTGTAGATTATGTGAACAACCCCGGCGGCCAGAAGATTTTCACGGAGACGTTGATGCCGGATATTATGGCGATGGTGTCGCTCAACATCTGCCGCGCTTTGCCTCCGCAGACCGAAGACTTCGACCCGGAGGAGGACGAGCCCGTGCTGGAAGCCTCGTGGCCACATCTTCAAGTGGTGTATGAATTTTTCCTGCGCTTCATCGTGTCGAGCGAGGTGAACGCCAAGGTGGCCAAGAAGTATGTGGACCAGAAGTTTTGTCTGTCCATCATCGACCTGTTCGACAGCGAAGACCCGCGCGAACGGGATTACCTCAAGACGATCCTGCACCGCATCTACGGCAAGTTTATGTCGCACCGGTCTTTCATCCGCAAGGCCATCAGCAACGTTTTCTACCGGTTCGTCTACGAGACGGAGCGACACAACGGGGTTGGCGAACTCTTGGAGATCCTGGGCAGTATCATCAACGGGTTTGCCATGCCACTGAAGGCCGAACACTTGCAATTCCTGGTGCGTGCACTGGTGCCACTGCACAAGCCAAAGTGCGTCTCAATGTACCACCAGCAACTCTCCTATTGCATCACGCAGTATGTAGAAAAGGACCCCGAGACGGCTGTGCCTATTATTCAAGGCATCATCAAGTACTGGCCCTGGTCGTGCTCGTCCAAGCAAGTGATTTTCCTGAACGAGTTGGAGGAGATTCTGGAGCTCATGGGAAGCGAGCAGCTGCAACAGGTGCACAAGCCGCTGTTTAATGGCCTGGCCAAGTGGCTGGGCAGCCAGCATTTCCAGGTGTCGGAACGGTCGCTGTTCTTGTGGAACAATGAACATCTCGTGAACAACGGGTGCTTGAGTAAGCAGCACGCGCACTTGATCCTGCCGGTCATTTACGGTCCGCTCCATAGAAACTCGCTGGGACATTGGAACACGACGGTCGAAGGACTCGCTCAGGTGTGTTGCTGGCACTATCGTAATTACTGGGTCTTTAGTATTCGTGGCTGATGATGTTTGTATTTGCTGTAACTTTGTAGAACGTGTTGAAGCTGTACATGGACTATGACATGGCGCTGTATGACCAGTGTGCAAAGGAGTACTCGCTGAAGGAGCAAGCCATGGCGGACACGAAGAACAAAGAGCAGGAGAAGTGGCGGAAAATAGAGTCGATGGCAGCGTCGAAGGCTCCAGCGTCAACGGCCTAGGTTGCGTCGTTTTTTTACAGACAAATCGCGGCGTTATGCATGCGAAGACAATAGCAGCGAATGATAACGAGTTGGACCAAGCGAAGGCTGACGAGTAGGGGACGGAGATTGATGTGGAGGCAGAAGAGGGAAAGGTTGGGGTCAAGAAGAGGCCTGGGCCACTCGCGCTGCAAAGTCTTGTGTGGCTCTGGCCTTAGCTTGCGACCCACACAGCACTCCTCGCGCTGAGCGCGGGAGAATGGCAGCACATGAGAGGAGACGGCAGGCAGAGTTAGGTTTTCATGGATACTTCATGAATGGCGATTGCATTTAGATGACACGGGCAGCCGGGTTTGCACGTGGATACCGGTAGTGCAAATCTGGTGGACTAGTACGTTTCTTCCCATTCGCTTTACTTCAGCTTCCTTCGCACAGCCGAGTGATTGTCAATCACTTTCACAAAATTTGCGGTTGAAATATCACATTTGCAGTGATTGAAACCTTTCATCCAATCACAAGTTATCGACGGGGTCCACACCAAATAGGCGAACAGCTCCACTGTCAACCACAGAAGCAAACCCCCGACCAGCGAGCGGTGGGGGATCAGCAAGAGACAAATGGTGCGCGTGTGGCTTCGTCCCTGCGCGTCTGCGATCGTTGGTGCGTGCTGTCAATGCAACGGATTTTTTCAATGCAGCTCCAAGTTTTCTAACGTGATTTCTGTGTATTCGAAATTGGTATCGTTATCAGCGCTGGGTCGTGCGGTTCCTAGCGCCAAGACTGCAGTGCTGCGTGCACAGATCCCGCGCTCATTGGCCACGCACAATGACACGTCGCTTCTGATTGGCAGTGTGCGCTCGCTGTCCTCCAAGGGCAAGGACGACGACAAGAAAGGTGCGTCACAAAGCTCTAAAAGCTAAAAGCTCGAAAACAGGTCCTGTTTAAGCGCTAATTCTTGTCGCTATCTGCAGAATTTAAGAAGAAATCGACATTCGATAAATTTGAGGAGGACAACGACTTGACGGAGGTGCCCGAAGAGGTGAAATACCTGAGCCAGCAGTTGGATGAGAAGGACCTTCAGTTCTCGGAGGAACTTGACTTTGATGACGACGATGAGGATGATGAGGACGCTGCGCTCAGTCCTGCCGAGTGGGCCGAGAAATTCGAGCGCGACGTTGCTGAGTGGGACCAGGAAGAGGGAGACTACGACGAGGACAGCTTGGCAAACGTCTCTGCTGAGGGAGTCGAGGACGACCGCCTCTACGTTGAAATGCCTGGATACGACGCGTCGCTGAGCCTTGCAGAGAGTCAAATTGGCGTCAACGAGGACCAAAGTGTCCCCGATCCGTTCAAGAAATGGGAGCAGGGCATGGCGTAAGTTGCTGTTTCTATTTGTCAATTGTTGATAGTGGTGACTGAAAAGTGTTTATTTACTGTTTTATTCAGTATTTCTCCGGAAATGCTAAATTGGATGCTGCCTGTTGAGAAGAGGAAGCCGTTCAGGAAGGAAAAGACCAAACCGTGGAAGTATCTCGTGGCTGCTAACCACCCGGACGTTGTGGAGCTGGCTCTTGACGTGGACCTGCTGCGTCTCTTCATTTCCCCAACGGGACGCATTCGTCCTCGTCGGTTCACTGGTCTGACGGCCAAGCAGCAGCGTAAACTGGCACAGGCGATCAAGATCTCGCGTCAAATGGCATTGTTGCCGTATCTGTCGCGATACCCGGAGCCTACGCCCGAGCAGTGGAAGGCAATTGACGAAGAAATCATCGCAGCCGCAGAGCTCGAGGACGACAAGGACGATGTGCTCGATGACGACGAGGACGAGGACTTCGATGAGGACTTCGAGTATGATTAGACAAAATAGAAGTGATCGGCCAAGGACGGTTTTCCTCAGTCTAATGCCGCAGTTGTGATCGTCATATAACCGAGAAAATAGTCATACCCTGTTGGATACAGGTTACGATAAAAAAAAGTTTAATTTTTGCCTGTTGTTATTACCAGGATAAGCATGATGCCAAAACAGGATAAAAAGTCTGGTTGAAGTTGTTTTCATTGCTTTAATGGGGGAAGGCAGAGGCTACAAGATGCACATGACGTCGAAAGATGAAACGCAGAGAATTACAAGAAAGCTACAAAACCCTGAGGCCTGCTTCGAGTTCTTTTGTTGCTTTGCCAATTTCCAGTCTCACGTGCCGCATCCGAGACGTCGCGTTCTTCCGCTTTCAGGGGGGTGGGTTGCTTTTCTTCCGCTCTGCATTTCGAACCGAGTAACTTATTCGTCAAGCTCGGCCGCCAGGTCAGCAGCCTTCGCCTTCACCTCCTCGATACCGCCAACCATGTAGAAGGCAGCCTCCGGAAGGTCGTCGTAGTTACCGGCGATGATGTCCTTGAACGACGAGATCGTGTCCGTGAGCGGCACGAACTTGCCGGCCTTGCCCGTGAACACCTCTGCCACGTGCAGCGGCTGCGACATGAACTTCTGCACCTTACGGGCGCGAGCGACAGTAAGCTTGTCGTCTTCCGACAGCTCATCCATACCCAGAATGGCGATAATGTCCTGCAGACCCTTGTAGTCCTGCAGCAGCTTCTGGGTGGCACGGGCCACATCGTAGTGCTCCTGGCCGATAATACGGGGGTCAAGCATACGCGACTTGGAGTCAAGAGGGTCCACAGCCGGGTAAATACCCAGCTCGGAAATCTGACGCGACAGCACAGTGGTAGCGTCCAAGTGGGAGAACGTGGTGGCCGGAGCGGGATCCGTCAGGTCATCAGCGGGCACGTAAATGGCCTGCACCGAGGTAATGGAGCCCTTCTTGGTCGAGGTAATACGCTCCTGCAGAGCACCCAGATCCGTGGCCAGCGTAGGCTGGTAACCCACAGCAGACGGGATACGACCCAGCAGAGCCGACACCTCCGAACACGCCTGGGTGAAACGGAAGATGTTGTCGACGAAGAGAAGCACATCCTGGCCCTCAACGTCACGGAAGTACTCGGCGACAGTCAGACCAGTCAGACCCACACGGGCACGAGCTCCAGGGGGCTCGTTCATCTGGCCGTACACCAGAGCGGCCTTGGAGCCGTGGTCGTGCCGTCGTCGTTGATCTTGATCACACCCGACTCGATCATTTCATAGTACAGATCGTTACCCTCACGAGTACTGTTCACCCACACCGGCGAACACGGACACACCACCGTGGTTGTTGGCAACGTTGTTAATCAGCTCCATGATAACGACCGTCTTACCGACACCGGCACCACCGAAGAGACCAATCTTACCACCCTTGGCGTAAGGGGCCAGCAGGTCAACGACCTTCATGCCCGTCACCAGGATCTCAGCACCAGAGCCCTGCTCCGTCAGCAGAGGAGCCGACGTGTGGATGGGGGCGTGACGCTTGGCGTTGATGGGACCACGCTCGTCCACGGACTCACCGATAACGTTCATGATACGGCCGAGCGTCTCCGGACCCACTGGAACCTACACATTCAACAATATTTGGAAATCTATAAATATCTGTTCCAAATTCCTAAACGGGCCTGTGTGGTGCATCTAGATTTAGAACGTACCATGATGGGGTTGCCGGTGTCAACGCACTCCTGGCCACGCACGAGACCGTCCGTGCCCTCCATAGCGATGGTACGGACCGTGTTCTCACCCAGGTGCTGAGCGACCTCGAGCACGATGCGCGTGTTGTCCTGGGTCTTAATCTCCAGGGCGTTAAGAATGGGCGGCAAGTTGTCCTTGAACTGCACGTCAACGACGGCACCAATGATCTGCGTGATCTGGCCGACCGAGCCCGTGACCTTCTTGGCGTCAGTCGCCATCGAGCGAGCGCCGCGCATGGCGGTAAGACCCACACGAGACAGCATCTTTACTATGTGTTTTCCTTCGTCGAACTGCTCCCGTCTGCGGCTGAAAGCGGAAATGAAGCGGCTGCAAACCTGGCCGGATCGCCCCAAAAAAGGGGGAGCCAATGAGGACCACACACCCTACATCACTTGGCTTTTGTAAGAAATCATTTTAGAGAGGGAGGAGGTGACGACCTTTTCGGGACAGCACACTGTAGCTCTCAAATTGATACAAAATGTTCTGCTATTGCTGTCCACAGCGTCTGTCGATTGGCTGAATTGATCCGAAGTTCTTTATAAGCGACCTGATCCGCTGCGGGTCAAACCCGGGCCATCGTTGACCGTGCCTTCAACCAACCCGAGCGTCGACTGCAACGTGTGCGGCTGAAAATGCCCTGAAGTGTCGAACCCATGTCAATAGCAGTTGCACCTGCAGGGAAGCAACGCAATGCATTTTGCAGCGCAGTGATGGCAGCTCTCGTTGACATTTATAATGTCCTTTCAATAAAACACAATGGAGCTGGGGTGTTTTCCAACCTAACTGAAGATGCAACGAAGGCAAAAGAGAAACATGTAAAACGCGACGCGCACTAGACAACAGCGGCATTGTGCAAAGGTTGCAGTGGGCTCGCAAGAAGATGTCCATATCCGCTGCCTATCTACGTGTGAGTCGGTCTGTGGGAACCGGTCAATTGCGGATCGAACAAAATCCTCTCGCTCGCTTCAACCTCCCCCTCGCATCTTCCACCGGCTTCCGCAGTTCGGGCGTGTTGACGTGGCTATATCGCATTATTTGTGTAGTTTTCATCGATTGCAGCGACGCGATTCGTGCGCTGCCGTCACATCGGTCCTTGCGCCTGCAAGCGGTGTTCTAAGGCTGCCCACTTGAGCTGGCGCTGTTCCGTCGTCTGCTGCGCTCTGATAGACGCACACACAAGCGTCAGATAATGGCTCGATTGCGTATTAAACGAGTGCAAGAACAGAACTTGCAAGTGCGTCATGCATGTAAGCTCACCTTCCTTCGCGCTCCTCGAACTGCGCCGAGCACTGGTCGAAGAGCTGCGAGTCCATTTCCATGAATAGCTTGAGCACATTGTACGTCAACGTCTGGACGGTGCTGTGCCAGTGGTTCTCGCAGTTGCGGTACAGCGCCCCAAAGATCAGCGGCAAGATCTCGGCACGTCGCGCGCTCACAAGCCGCACCAGTGCCTCGTTATTCCATAAATATAAGGCGCGCTGAGAGACCTGGAAGTGGCTGCTGCACACGGCCTGCGATATCCGCAGGAACAGCGGCCGCATCACTGCCGCAAACTGCTCCATCTGGATCATCTCGATGATCTCCTCAAGCTCGTTCAGGAACAAAATCTGCATCAGCAACGCACAATTGTAGTCAGAATGGGCTGCAAGCTATCAAACAACTAGCCATAACTACTGTAGCTTGACGATACCTCTTTGGCGCTTGCAGTTACCGGCCAGTACTTGAGCAGCCCCATGATAATTGGTTCCGCCGTCTGCGGATCCTTTTCAACAAATTGCGTGGTGCAGTAGGCAAGTTGCTGGTGGAACATGGCGAGATTCCCTGCCTGTTAATTAAATTCGCACAGAAAAAGCAATGCAGCGAGTTAATCTGTCGGTATGATGCTCCAGGGCTTCCATACGGAAATCAACAATAGACGCACCGTGTGCAGGGGGATCAAAGCGCGCTCGAGGAAATTCTGGTGCTCAGGTTTAAGTGGTAGAGCAAAACCGTTGATGATACTGCGGTAAACAACCAGATGAAAACGAGTGAGTCAGGTTCTAGCCCCTCTGAATCGCATTACAACCCAAAGGAAGTGAAGCACTTGAGCAACAACAACTGTCAGCATTGCAGACGCACCTTCCTAGGATTTCCAGTAGCTCACCCACGCCCTGGAGTGATTCCGTCTCGTACACGAACGTGTAAAACATGTCGTTGATCGAGCGGCGAATGAACGAACGCAGCGCCATCGACTTGCCGTAGATGCGGTGCAGAATTGTCTGCAAATGCACAGCGCAAATAAACATCTCTACTTTTTAAGCAAATATCTGCGCTTCCCACCTTTAGGTAATCCCTCTCCCGAGGGTCCTCAGAATCAAACAAGTTCAACAGCTTGATCATAAACTTCTTGCTGAAGTATTCTTTGGCCGTCCTGGAGTCCACCTCCTTTGACAGCACGAAACGCAGCAAGATCTCGTACACCAACTGCATATGGGGCCACGACGGCTCCAGCATAGGTTCGTCGTCTTCCGGAGCAGCTATTAACATCACCAAAGTTCCGTCAGCACTGTACAATAAGAGGGAGAGGTAAGTATCCGACAAAAACCGACAGTCGCCTACCTTCAGCGTTGCCATTGGCGTTTATCGTTGAGAGGTTGGAGCTGCGTCCCAAGTGACGGAAGATGTTGGAGCCCACACATTCGAGCAGATCAGCCACCACTGAGGGGTCCCAAGCCACCTTACCAGCTGAAATGTACTCCACGATCTGCAACAACGCATTGCGCTTGGCCTCCTTCTCGCGCACCTGTTTGCGCATGTCGGTGAAGTCGTACAGCACGCAGCAGAGCTTGAGCTTCTGGCGGAACAGTCGCATGCGTTCACTTGGGGGAACGTCCTCCAGGGCCGGTAGCTCGCCGAGCTTCATCGCCCCGTTGGCCGCCATGGACGTCATGACTGCAGGATCAGTTCCAGATCGGCTTTCGGGCGTTAGATTGGGAGACCTCTGTTTAGGGTATCTAACGTCACATTTGGGTTGTAGCAAGTCTTTTGGAGCGACCTTAGCGCGACCTTCTGATGAAGTGGTACCTGTCTTACAAAAACCGAGTGAAGCGAATGTGGTACTCCTCGAGATTTGTAGTTTAGCGGAGCCCGTTAAATTCGCCACGAGTTTTGTTGCTCGATGTCACGATGAAGAAGATAAAAGTGGCGCCACGTCACTCGCATACCGTACTCGCCACCATGGAGCGCTTCGACTTCAAACTCGGAGTTCAACCTGAAATGACAAGGCGAACTTCAGCCTGAAGATGGCAGCGCGACCGACGGCAGTACTGTCCACCTGACTGTAGCTCTTCAACTACGTGCGATGAATTAATCGACGGCCCGCTGCATTTTAACTTAAAATTTCAAGGTGGTGAGAACTGTGTCTATTGTCTAAAGTGAGTACCGGTAGATCCAAGCTCGCATTGTTAGTGAGTCGAGGTGAAATTTGTTGTTTGCATTATCGGATGATCAAACGATCCTATTTTAACCATGCACCTATTCAGCTCGCGCACCATGCAACGCTTGCATTTACGCAGCAGCTGATACCGAATCCGAAATCGAGGTCCGATCGTTTAATGGTCCGTTGTAAGAATCTTCACTGAAGATTGAAGGCATCTTTTCGCAGCCTTCACAACTTTTTTTACGGGATGAAAATACATTGCGAGAATATACACTGTTAGTCTACCTCGGTTCATTTACTCCGGAATACATGTAACATTGTACTGACAGTGCCAGTCTGACACGCAGCGTGTGAGCAGGTGCGATGATCCGGATGTTGACGAAGCTGTTTGGCACATGTATCGGTAAAGAACTCTTTATTACTAGTACTTGAGTACATGTATTAGCAGTACAGGGCCAGGTGCCACCGTCTGTCGACCAAGGATTTAGGTTTGAGCTGCAAGTTTGCCAGAATTTAGCTGTATGGTGGTGCTTCAAAGGCACATCGCAGCAGGCAACTGCGCCTGTGACCGCATGGCAAGCAGTAATTGGACTTGAATTCTTGGAAGAAAGCCGACCGATAAACATGTACCACACCTGAATAACAAAACTTCTTGCCCGTCAACACGCGCTGGCGTACCAACCTCGGCGTGGCCTTCATTTGATACAGTATCGACACTGCGCTGATACTTGTTGTAATTGTCATCGCGGAACTATTAAAAATAATGGCCAGCAATTCAAATCCTTATCCAATGCTGCGGTACATCCAATATCAGAGCAAAGCTGGACGTTAAGGTTACGGTTCCTACGGAACAGCCTGAAGCAAGAGATTCAGCAGCTATTAAATTTTACCGGGTCAAGTGTTCACAAATCACTTCATTAAAGTAAGACCTGCTCACAGTGAATGTCTTCATCACTTTCAATATCAGGTTTTGAGGGTTGGAGTTGAACCGGCCGTGTCGATAGTCCTACATGTATCATCATTGCTCACTAAAAAATCGACCGCGTTGGTGCCACATTCACTCTCGCGTTGAAGCATGGAGCAGCACGCTAAACCGCCGTCTCCGGGACTGGATGAGCTGCTGCGCGACGAGGACTACGCCGAGTTGGTACTGGAGCCCGCGGCGGTTGACCGGCTCATGGGTGGACAATGTCTCGTGGAGCAACTTTCGCACCATGACGATACACACCGCAAGCGCCGTCGTGCGCCCACCGCCGATGCAGACATGGAGCTACAGGACCCCGACAACGACGAACAGCCTGAACAGGAGCCTCTGTGCTGCCTCAGCGACGTGGATGACACTGACGAGGACGCGGAAGACGGCACCGATGCGCTCATCGCCGCATTCGGATCGGAGGACCAGAATCAGATTGAGACACACCAGGAGCAGACCACGCTGCGCAGCAAGAAGCTACCGCACACGTCCTCGGCCTCGGCCATGTGCGTGTGTCGCTGCGGAATGAGTCGCGGCTCCTTGCTGGAAAGCGAGGCATTTGATCCTCACAGTGCGTCTCGAGAGTATCTGGACTTACACATCCGCTACGCAGTGGTAGTGCGTGTGGTAAGAGTGGAAACCGTGGAAAGTCATACTGTATTCGTGCTGAAAGTGTCCGACGCGGAGACGCAGAAGCGCTGGGAGGTCAAGAAGACGCTCAAGGAGATGATGCTGTTCTACTCGCAGATTCAGCAGATCAGCCTCGTGGATGCGCCTGTTAAGAGACCACTTTGGGGCACATTCCGAGGTCTGAGGAGATTTCGGTTACCCAAGAAGTTTTTCCACTTTCGAGGCTCATTAAACACTCAGAGACGCGTAGTTTTTGACTCGTTCTTGAGACAGACGGCGGCTCTTGTGGCCCCCGCTCCACTGGGACCTCGTCGCAGGAAGGCCGTGCGGTTGCTGCAAGAGTTCGTAGGTGTACACCGCCATTGCGACGTGTTTGATCGCGGTGATTGCTCTTGCTTTTTTCTCAAGAACCAGGTGAGCGCGTCCCAGCTGGTGACCGAAATCTTCGCGGCCTCTAGCCATAAGGTTTCGCTTGCCTGTGAGTCGTTTGTGGTGATATTAACCAGCATGACTCGCGACAATAAACACGCGATCATGCCGGAACGCAAGGCGCGAATGCTGTTGAACACGGTGTCGCGGAAGATGGGGGAGATCAAGGACAAGATGCTCAAGGACGAAGTGCTGCTGAGTCAGCTTGTCATTGCGCGTTCGGAGCGCTCGGAGCCGGACTTTGACGAGTTTGTGGACGAGGTGAAGCATGCCGTGTGTGGATTTGTACAGAAGCGTGTGTTGGTGCCGCTGGAAGATCATGTTCGTGAGGCTTTGAACACGCTGTCGGACTGGGAAGACGAGAACGTGCTGAAGGACAAGATCAAGGTGCTTCAGACCAAGCCGCAGTCGTTTTTCGGAGTGCCACCGCATGTCGTGGCTGGCTCGGGTAGTGACTGGGAAGACGCACGTCGAGAGCTGCGTCGAGTGAACGAGTACGCGTTGCCTCTAGACAAGCTCAAGTGTTTGGCGCGTGCTGCGGGGGCTATTTTCCAGACGTGTGGATCGTCGCGTTCGTCATCATCTGCAGACACAACGACCAGCCTCACGTCGATTGAGGAGCTCGACTTGGTCTTACGACCGTCCATGACCACAGACGAGTTCATCTCGGTGCACTTATTCGTGCTGGTCATGAGCAATATGTCGCAGCTCCTGATCACGCGTGAGTTTCTGCGGATAATGTGCGACCCCCAAGACATCACTGGTGAGCTGGGCTACTACCTCACGACGTTCGAAGTGGCTGTGGATCTGCTCATCAGCCACTCGGATCCTCAGCAGCCGATGTTGCCCAGTGCGTGAGGCAAGCAAAGCAGAATTTGTTATGTGGCGTTCGTTGTAGTTCAAGAAGATATGCTGACTGTGATGTGTACTTGTAAATTAGGAAGAATACGCGTTTGTTTCTTGGAAGTGCTGAACGCTCTTGTGTTTTTCGTGAGACTCTCCCTGTCACTGGACTCTTGACACGTCGAACTCTAATGATCAGCAGTTCGTTTTCGTCTCCTCCTGGTGACTCCGACAATATCCATGCTGCATCACCCACTTCCTGCATCGCTTAACTGCACAGGTCTTGTGTCCTTCGCGTTTATAACGACATTTCCTTGGTGGGGTTGCAGTCGAGCGGACAGCAGGTGGAAACGTCTCGCGTTCGTGTTTGGTGGCTTTGCAGTCTTCGTGAATGTCTCCAGTTTGATGGTCGTGACAGTAGCCCTGCCCCTGCTGATGGTTCTGGCACTCGTTAACTTGACATTTCTTTGGTTTGATACTCAGCTCGCGCGCATGACTGAAGCAAAATCCCTCTCGCCCAGCTGCAGCCAGCTTTTCACAGTTGCCAATCTTGCACTTCACTCCATGGTAGCGACACAGATTCTGCGCGACTGCTGTGCGGCTGCAGTTGTCGATCTTGCAAATGCGGTAGCCACCATGACGGTGACAAAGGCCGTGGAGTCGGACTGAACTGCCGCACTCTGGGTATCGACAAAGCGCTTTGGCCTGTCGACAGTTTGGAAGTGTCTTCAGTGGAGCGGTGTTGCTCTTCAGGAAAACGTTAGTCGAATTGTCAAAAGAACGTGGCCGAACCTCGATCTGTTCGCTATGTTCCCCTGCGCTTTCGAACATGGCAGCCGCTTCATTGGCACATCGCAGTGCTCTGGCCACCAACTCGGCGTAGTCAGATACTTCTCTGCTGCTATTCGCAGTAGTAAATTGGATTGATTCGTCTTCCTGGTTCTCCAAAGGTACCATCGCCACATCTCCAGACTTGTCTTCCTCAGGTTGCAGTGCACTCATAAGAAAGTCGTCATCTCCACTGCTCTCGCTGACAGTGTCAGACGTATTGCCCCCATTGCTGTCGTCTCCGCCTCTTTCGTCGTCTTCATCCTTGTCGCAGCGCTCTATGACCTGATTTTCCCTGTCATCATTAAGTCCTTGCTCGCGAGTATGTCTGCAGCAGTGAGAACTGCCAAGCGTTGCAGCCAGCTTATCACATCCATCCGTCGCGCACTTGCTGTTGACGCGGTGCTCCGAGCACAAGTACCAAACAAGTGCTTTCCTCTTACAACCGAAGACCTTGCACATCTGATAATTGCCGTGACTGTTGCCCATGCCGGCCACAAGTGTCGTACCAGTATTAGCTCGGTGTAGAGCAACCTTATCGTTGTCTTGCGTTCCCTGCTGCCGGTCTGTAAACCACTGCAACGTGCGTTGCAGCCCCACAATTCTGTGTCTTTGAAGCTCCAAATTCTCCCGCACTGCGCGTGCGGAGCCAAAAGTCTTGAGGAAGAAAGCTAGGTCGGTCGTGGCCTGCTCCATATCATTTCCTACTTGATAGCTGTCAACGGAGCACACAGTTTCTTCCCTTGCAGTTTCATTTTCGTTATTCATCACTCGCTTGACTTGACGTTCGAGGCGTCTGATCTCGCTCTGCTGCTCGTGAAACTTGAGGCGGATTGCATGCGTGGAGCCGAACTGGTCCAGGAAGAACGCCAAGTCGGAGAGGGTCGACGCCGACGTCAATTCCGAGCTCACTGTCGTGACGTCCAGCATGATGACGTTGCCCTTTCCTTTCCCTGTGTGAAGTTGAAGTGATTCTTTATTTTGATCTTGCGGTCACTATCAGAATAGAGAGTCCATCTTACAAATTCAAAGAGAACCGTTGCAAATCTGTTCAGCTTTTTTCCGTCGCAACATTCTGAAATTCACTAGTCACGCACGAAGGTTGCAATGCTGGACGTCACCGCAGTGGGCTCCAATCTGACGCCTGAGCAGCAGGAAGAAACGCTCTCCGATCTTGCCTACTTACTCGACGAGTTTGGCTCCACTCGTGCAGTTCGCGTCAAGCTGAGCGAGCAGCAACGCGAAATTCAGCGCCTTGGGGGGCGCCTTCTCAACGGTCGCGGGGTCGAAGAGGACGAAAAAAACTCAACTAACGAAGAAATTGCCGTGAAAAAGAACCAGGGCGGTCCGAATGATGTGGATGAGATCATGGCGGACGTGGATTTTTTCCTAAGGGTCTATGGGTCCACACACGCCGTGCGCCAGGAGCTGTGCACTCAAAAGCAGAGACTCGCTGATCTGCGCAGCGCGATCCGATTTTTCCAGAAGTTGCAGGATGGACCTGCAACGACAGAGAACTTTTGCAGTACAAAAACTGGTAAAAGTGATGAAATGAAGGTGAATTGTACTACTAGTGCTACTCTGGTCCAACAAGTTGCTGAAAAGGAGCAACAAAACGAGAGCATCACGATGTTTCAGCACACACAAAGTGCGACCGGCCGTCGTCGACCTAGTCACGTGACATGCAAATTCGTGGGGTGCATGAAATGGGTCATGCGCCATGGAGAAAGTTCAGACGAGTACTGTGCTCAACACCTGGCAGCCCTTGCTTCTCGAGATGACTGCACAGACACATCGATGCAGGATGAAAAGAGCGTGCGAAATGAAGAAGACGGTGGGCATAAGGGTGATGTGACTCTGGAAAAGAAGAAACGTGATAATGTTCCGATGAAACCCAAAAGTGGGAGGTTGGAGACTTTTCTGCATCGTGGTGGCGCGAATGACGACATTTGTGTTAGTGGCATGATAGCTGCGTACTATAATCAGCTCAAAAAGCCTCAAACTGGTGTATGTGGTGCCTCGAAGCCTCCCGGTGCATCAAGCTCCAGTGATGGCAGTCATTGCGTTGAGTTAAGCTCGTCCCAGCTAAAATCTACTAAAGTTTCCTTCATGACCAAGCAAACCAAAGTAATCGCCAGCATCAAGACTGATATGCGTACTGCTCTTCAGGAACCATCGTCTACGCGACGTAGTAGCCATAGATGCAGTCATCCAGGTTGCACCAAAAATATTCAAGCGCACGGTTTGTGCTGGGCTCACGGTGGTTATTATATATGCAAGGTCGATGGCTGCACTCGACGAGCAGCGTCACGAAAGCTTTGTCGCAACCACGGTGGGGGTACTCGATGCAAACTTGCCGAGTGTGATAGCTTCAGTGTTTCCTATGGGAAGGGTTATTGCTACAGACATGCCCGCGAACAAGGTTTGGGCGTCAATCGAACAAGCAAGACCAGCACGTGTCACAGACCGCAAATGGGCAATTTGCAGCAGGATAAAGGCAATGGTAAAAACTATCCTCGGCCAAGTACTTTTGAAAAAACACATCAGGACTCAGACGAAGCCCGCACAATAAATATTCGTCGCAAAGCTCGTCATGAAACGTGCAAAGCATTCAAATGCATGAAGTGGGTAAAGCGAGATGGAGATCAAAGTGAGTACTGTGCCACCCACAGAAACTTTCGCGGATCTAAAATTGGCAAAGCGTCAACAGCGCCACTTATCTACCCGGAACACGAAGTGATTCCAACTGAAGCAAATCCCGTGAAGATGATCACTTCGAAAAGCCACGTCTCCTCGTGCAAGGGCGTGGAAGGTTAGCGAGACCGGTGCTAAGATTTTTTCGAGCATCATGACGCTACGTGCTAAATAGCGCTGCAGGAACTCGCTTGGCGAATCTCCTTTGTGCGGCATACGCTGCTTGCGCGCAGGTGCGCTATAGGTGACAAACCAGATACTATCGTTAATGAAAAAAAGCATCATGTTAATGGTAACTCCAAAATCGGTGAAGTTAATACTGTGAAAATATCACCTGAATACCAGTTAATATTAAAATATCATCTAATACTTTCTTCTGGGACAAAATAGTATTATAAAATATCAACTTGATATTAGCTAATACGATATTATATTTTTCGAAGATTGCGTAATCTCTTATAGAGGACCCTCTTTTAGGGTCCTCTATAGCAATATAAGACCATCGAATAGAGCGCGATAAAATACAGCACCGTCCGACTTAAGATAGCAGCTTATCAGAGGAAAGCCTGGGTTTGGTCAACGAGAAGCACCTGCGCCAGGGTTGACTAAGCCCTGCCATCCATCCCAAAATTGCTTTCAAGCTTGTGTCTGTGGTGCTTCGTTGGCATCATTTGCCAAGATGCCAGCAAGACGAAAGAGTGTGGAAATCAGCATTAAGAGGCAGACTATCGGCTGGATTGCCACGGAGGGGGTGGCGTGCCGTCTCGCGCGGAGGCTCATTTCCGCCAGCGCGAGAGGCGCATTACAGCAGCGTGCTTCCGTGAGTGGTGGCGCCAGCAAGTGGGAATCCTGGCTGCCAGGGCTGTAGCCGAAGTTTTCATCGATCCGGACGGCGTCCAGTTCTCGGTGAGGCGGAAGACGCGCTTGGGGATTTTATCTTTGACCGCCGGCTTAACAGCGAAAATGCCACCAGGGACTGGATTGCAGCCCAAGCGCGGTTGATGTTTCATGAGAGCCGTTCCGAGGAAGAACACGAAGAGCATCCGATCCGTTTCGCAACCTCAGAATTCGGCGTCGTACCAATCTCACTACGCTCACGGATGATATGTTAGTTGGTCGAGCGATATCGTTTATGCCCTCCTTAACAGAGCACAAGCCCTCCATAAGACCGTGTGAGCTATAAAACTTACCTGCGTGTCGAGCGCCAGTGCATTGCAGTCTGCCAGTGTCCGGTGCCCCCATCTACGAGCCACCGTCCACTGCCAGTGTCTGCCAAGACACATCCCAAGGACACTCATGCGCCTGGCAGTGCAGCTTGCGGCTGCACTACAACCGGCTACACTGAGT